AGTCATGAGTCTTATTCCATGCTTGGTACTCCTCCTCGCTAAGCTCTCTCTCTGCGATACACAATGTCCTTAGACCTTCCCTGGCGAACATCTCAAGATGCTTTGCTGTCTCCTTTCGAAGTTGTTGCTGCTGCCCACGAGCCAAGCGAGAATAAATTATACTATCTGCGCCCTTGCAGAACAATAAGATCTTCCCATCCGGCATCCGGATAATCGCGCTCATTCGTTTTCTCGATGAGTTGAATTCCAGCGTGTTCAGAACTGTATACGAGCGTTCTTCACCCATCACGTTTAACCGGATGTCGTCACCTGATCGCCCCAACACTGTGAAGCCGCAGTCTCGTGCGGTGGCAACCAATGCTGCCTCGTCGGGAGATTGGGCTTTGAACTCAATCTTAGGAGGGTCACCTGGAGTACGCTCTGTTATGACTGTATGGCACAGAGCCAAAGCAAGCATAAAATGATCGTTAGCGGCTTGTTGCTTCTCACCGGCATTTCCAGCAAGATCAGAAACAAAATCGGGAGATACAAAGGTAAGTTTGTCGTCATGGAGATATGGGTTGTTGTGGATAGAGCGGAGCTGTTGGAGCATCTTAACTCGAGATTTGGCGATATTTTCCTGAGCCTTTTTGGACACTTCCTCGACATTGATACCCTCACGGCGCTGCATGCCAGCCATTGCTTCGGTGTATGCTTCGCCATAGGCCACGCCGTTGATAGTGCATTTCCTGAATTCCATCACATTCTGAGTCAGAGTCCCGGTTTTATCTGAGAAGATATACTCAATCTGCCCCAGGTCATCCGATATATTCCATGACTTTGGCGTGCAAGGGTATTCTAGTTTATCGTAATACATGAAGTTGTCACTGTGGATGAAGATGGCCTGTGCAGTTCGAACGATTTCTAGTGATATGTAGAGTGAGATTGGGACGAGATTCTGGTAGAGAATAACAGCCGCCCAGAACGTGACAAACCCATCGACCGGCGGCGAACCTCCATACGATCCAAATTCGAAGAAATTCAAAGAATTGTTTCCCTGACCCCACGTGATACCCTGAACGATTCCAGAAACAAGACACATAAAGAACAGAATGATAAAGTTATAGATGACGTTCCAGTTCAGATCTCTGGCAAGTTTGGCCCGTTTAGTCGGTGTCGCGCCAGAATTGAGCATGATCTTTGTCTGAAGACCAGTGAAAATCACCATGCCTAAAACCCATTCAGTATTCTGCAAGCTACAGCCACGGAGGAGGATGTTGTTAATGGTGATAGGTTCCACCATTTCTCGTCCGGGTTGATCGGGGAACTTCGGATCGTGCTTATTCCACTTGATAGCTCCATTGTATTCATACAGATTTGGGTGAGGAGGTTCACTTTCAATCGTAAATTCGGCCTTCTCACAATCTCTCGCATGCTTAACAGAACGGGTACAATGAAGCGCTTGCCGTACCTTAAGATTCGTTTCTCCGTCAAGGTTTTTCGTTTCGACGTAACAGGCACCATCTGGGTCGGAGGTGGAAAACACGACGACATCGGCGGGAATCTGTTCTTCGTTGTAAATCCGGACGAAATCACCGACCTGAACGTTTTTCCAGAAATCGCGCTTGAATCTTGCTATTTGGGGTGTCCGTCTTGCCTTATTCAACACGCTTCCATAATCGCGGGCGGAATGTAGGAGGTCGAATTTACGATGTGGATCCGGAGATAAGTAGTCCGTTGATGATCTAGGAACGGCTAGAGATTGTCCCTCCTGCTGCGAATTGAATCGGTCCACATTAGGTGACGGAACGGGAGTCATCTGAATGGCGCCTCCTTCCTCAATGGGCTCATTATTGTTTGATTGGAACGATACTCTGTAGGAGTAAGTGGAGTTTCTCTGCGTGCGACGGGTCTCTATGGACGGGCGTTGTCCCGCGAGGATATCGTTTTCAATGTCCTCCAGCGGTATGCCTTTCCTTAGAGCGTTTAATTTCTTCCAAGTCTTCACTACTGTCTTGGTTGTCGACTTCTTGGCCTTCCGCCACAGAGACACATTTTCTTCAACCGAGTTAACATTATTCCACTCCACCAAACGATGTATTGGAGAATTGTTTAATTCATTATCCAGCACGGTCCGTCTCCAATCTTCAATAGCATCTTTAATGGCCGTAACTGTCAAAATGGAAATCAAGGGTACCGCGCTCAATCCAGGGTTGGTGGCGCCAAAAATAGGGAAAATCTATGATTAATTTTGAACGAGTTAGCAGCAGGTCAGTTTGGCGAGTTCGAGTAAATAAAACGGGATGGCAATGAAAACTCACAGCTAGAATAATAGTGAACAAAAAGTAAATATTTGCAATATTATGAAACTGAAACCACAAATTCTTTGGAACAAAACTTAATGGCGTATATTTTGCCGTTCTTATCTTGTTCCGCGAATAATTGGCTAGGAGACGGCCGTCCTCATCCTTTGCATCATCGGGAAGCGGTACGTTGCAAAATACCCTCCTGAGGTTTGAACTGTCAACCGAGCCTTCATCTACCGTCGACCCGTCGCTGTGGGGCGAAGAGCTGGCGGCTGATTTCCGTTTTTCTTCCTTTGAACCGGTGCCATGGTGTAACCTGTCCAATATAGATCGTCTTTTTCGCGATCCGCCGGCACCTGCATGGCGTTGGGTGGCCCATCGCATTCGTCTGACGGGTTTCGAGATGTGGGCCTCATCCTCTGCACCAAACTGAACCACAGCCATTGCGAGGCTACGTAATCCACCTATAACATAAAATGGGAATAGGTCAAGAAACTGATTCGGACATTTGTGGAATTGCACTGGTGATTAAGGAGACTCAGTTGGCGTTGGGATGGCTCGTGGGGATAATAAAGGGTCAGGGGGGCGGTGAGACCAACGCGACAAAGATCGATAGAAACGAGAGGACAGGTAACGATGTATGTGGCTTGACCGAAATTAATGAATGTGAGGATATGGCAACCGGACACAGAATCCGCGTGTGAGAACCCAAAAAGGCAGTAGGTTTGAGAAGGGATTTGTTGGATAGAGAGACAGCGACAGGGACAGATAGTCAGGAGGCGATTGAAGGAGCGAATTGGTTAGCAACTTATGGACGAAGACAGTTCTGGGATTGCCATGGAACAATCGACAGAGGTATTGGAGGGGGCCAGCAACACGACTCAATGTAAAGAATGCCACGGTGCGAGAGACAAGCCAGCGAAGAACACCATGCGCAAGGTGTCCTGGTTTGCAGTTGGTCTATGTAGGTGTAGAGACGGAGGTTGGTGGTGGTAATGGGGGTGGTGGTGGCGGTGTTGTTGGTTTAGAAGGTTGGAGAGGAAGTTGGAAAACGACACAGTATTAACTGGTCGGCAGGTATCATATGGTAATACCAACTGAGATCAAAAATACGGTGCATTTTGGCCCCCTTTCGCAGTAGCCGTATTGTAACGTTACCCCCCGATGAATACCTTGCGCCTCCATAAAATATCCGCCGCTGACAATTTCTTCCATCCTCTCTAATTAACTAGTTAGTTAATAGTTAAATCAACTAACATGTTTTTTCCACAGCCCCGGAAATATTTTAACTCCGTTTGTCATCGTTCATACCAAAGGCTGTGTAATGTATGGATAATAGTGGCAGCCCTCGCTGCCGTTGCCTGAGGCTACAACGTATGTTCTGCCACTTTGCCTTCCCTCCTTTACAGTTTTCTTTGGAAAGGAAAACAACAGTATTACTCAGCTTGTTCATCGGACATAGTTAAAACGTTATCTCGCAAAAGCAAAAGCATGGGAAAAATCCCCCCGAAGCTTGCTACCCAAGTACCAAATCGATAACTAGATTGTGTGCATTGAGACTTCTAATTCAAACCACCAAAACCCCCGCTTTACAGCTCCCCAAGCCCACCTACGCCGAGTTTCTTCTAGCGCTGTCAACTGCCCAACTGCCAACAACCCCGTTATCTGGATGCTGCTGCAAATCCTTGGGCACGAGGTTTGCTTCCTGTTCCGTGGAAAATTGTGCAGGCTCTTCTACATGCCGTCACTATCTTGATCTCTTGTTATTATTGATCGGGACTAATTACTCATCATCGATGTATTTATTTACAGATAAATAAACAAACCTTAGGGCCCCAAGCCATTTCAAGAATAACATTTTGATAACGTATTTCATGCAGTCGATATTTTTTGGTCATCGCATTATCACCCCCTTTGAGCTTGTCTTCAGTACACTTTACACTTCATTTTTGGCTTGAATCCGAGCCACGCCGTAGGAAGGGAGTTAACCTCTGCACGGCTCTGTCCAGAACCTTTCCAGCGGAAGACAGCATTACTAAGATGCACAATCCACTCCGTTCGGCTTGGTCCATGCTACCAACTACGGTTTTACCCGTAAAACCCTGTCCCAGCAAAAGAACGCAGAACCCACCGAAACCCCTCAATTAAGCACTCCTCAAAGTTAACTGATTACATCCAATAACCGTATTTTACCGGGCAATCAGAATCGTCTCCGAAGCATCCGAGAGCCGGCTTGCAAAGGCTTGCCAACCGGTTCCGAGAGGGCGAAAAGATAACTATTGCTACGAGAAAAAGAAAATAAAATAAAAGAAAATAAAAATAAAAATAAAAAATAAAAAATTGAAAATAGAAAATAAAAGATTTTGTATATGAAAACACGGAACTGCCAGAAAAGAACCCATATACGCAACTTTATTACCAAGCTCCTTGACAGAACGCTTCTCTGTACTTTTGTAATAATGACGGAGCTCGGAGTAAACAGTTAGAGAGCAGGTTGTCTCCGCTGCTTTGGGCTCTCCCGCAGACTTTCCAGAGCTCAGGCATCCAAAACATCACTCTGGGGTTAGCAACAAATAAATAAATACCAACAACAATGTGATTGCGTAGAATTAAACGCTGACATGCGCTCTCTCCTTCCACTTTAACACCTTTTCATCCGAATTATTAATATCTCAGCACCCTATGTTCTAGCGACCCACATTCATCAACACACCTATGCCCAGCTCTCCAACGCAAGGACGACCTCAGATCATGAACCCTCCAAAGTCTCCCACCTCTCCAACTATCAAAACCCGATTTCTCATCCTCTCCGATACACATAGCAGAGAATTCGGCCCAGAAACCAACCCAACACAGTATGCAGATGTAGTCATTCACTGCGGCGATCTCACAGAAGGGTCTACACTAGAAGAACTCCAATCCGCCATAAACCTTCTCTCGAACCTCACTGCCCCCCTCAAGCTCGTCATAGCCGGAAACCACGATTTCACCCTAGACACCCCCTTCTTCAAGGACAAGGTCGACGGCCAATTCAAAGTCCTCGACCCCGGCCTCATCAAGAAGGCATACGGCGACCCGGGCGAAGCGCGCCAGCTCTTCAACGAAGAACCAGCCACTTCGGCCGGAATTGTATTTCTCGACGAAGGCACGCACCATTTTACTCTCGAGAATGGCGCGTCATTAACCCTCTATGCCAGCCCTTTTATTCCCGCATGTGGAGGCTGGGCATTTCAATATACACGTCAAAAGGGCCATGACTTTCGCATTGAGAAGGGCGTCGACCTAGTCATAACCCACAGCCCGCCAAGAGGGATCCTGGATCGGACATTATCCGGTGAACAGGTCGGGAGCACACATCTCTTCGATGCCGTTGCTCGCAGTCGACCACGTCTGCACTGTTTCGGGCATATCCACGAGGGTTGGGGAGCGAAGCTTGTCACATGGCCACCGCAGACGGAGGACATAGGCGAGAAACCGTTGCGGCTTTCCGATATTGATGATGGACAGTCAGTTGTTGTGGGGGATTTGTCGACGGTAAGGAGTCGAGAGGCCAATGGGACGGGGACGGGGGAGCATTCTGAGACGTGCTATGTGACCAGCCATTGTAGTGGAGATGCCAATCCGGTTGAATTGGGGAGGCAAACGCTCTTTGTAAATGCTTCCATTAAGGAGATGGATGAAGATTATCCTCAACATCTGCCCTGGCTGGTTGATATTGAGCTTCCGAAGGGTAACTAGTCAAGGTGTTGCCAATATGCTATACACAAGGTTAGGTTGATGCCCAATATTACATTCATTCGCTACTTACGGGCTGTGGGTCATGAAACAGCCAAGCGTCTGGTCATCATTGATATGCCGACATAATTTAAAAAAAAATTTAAAAAAACCCCCCCCCCCCCCCCCCCAAACCACCTGATTCTCAAATGAACGTTGAAGAAAGAGATACCCATTTTCACAATCGCAAAAACCAGCCCTTGGGAACAAAATTTCTACTAAAAGCTCAAGTTTATGAAATAGTAATAATACCACCAAAAGAGCGAAATTACACACGCGTAAAATCTTCTCCTAAATGGATTTGTCATGATATTGTGAAGCTCACCTGGCCAGGACTCTGCCCAAATAACCGCTTTGCTAACCCTGTTCAAGGACCAGGATGTCGAAGCTAAGTAACCGAAGCACGCATGGCCAATTGATCATAATAAATGGATAACTAGTCAACTAACGAACTAGTTGGTTAGCTATTTGAAAATGAGCTACGACAGCCACGTTGGCAACAAACCAGGATAATATGCTTTCACCTGGCGGATACCCCATCAATCAGGTAATAATTACAATATGAAAGCTCAAGTGTCTTAACCATAATACACACCGATGTGCCGGATACATGATGAAACGCCGTCGCAGGGCTGAACTTCCTTGCTAAGAATAGACATGAGGGGGCGCCCATAAGGCTGGTGTATCCTTACGTTGACGCTGGACGGAGGAGGCTTAGAAATCTATTGAGCCAAAGACAAAAAGCGTTCGTTCATTATTTCATTATTTCAAGAAGCAAACAAAGGCTGACCACAAGAAAGAGAAACCTGCAAAAAATGCGGTATGGAACCAGAAATAGAAGAACCCACGCTTCAACTCAGAAAGTTGTGACTGGACCGGGGTTCGATCCCAGGACCTTATCGGCACAGGGTTGTTGACCGACGACGCTTTTCGATCCTCAGGCACTTGCTGCTAGATAAATTTCATCAGCTTTCAGCCTTCCAGCTTTCGTCTTTCTCCCGATCTGCCTTTCACTGAAGCCTTCAGCCTCTAGATTTGAGGCTCAATGGAATGCGAATCCGAATCCTTCAGAAGTAGGGCGTTTTAATGGTATTAGACACTAACTGAAATGAACGAATACGGATACCAAGTCTGTATCTCACAGTTCAATCGTAATCACGCCTACCTATTGGGTAAATTCACATCTATGAAAGACATGGCACCACCCGGAACAGGTAATGGTATCAGCAGCAAGTGGATCCGAATAATCCCCGACAGTCTTAAGAAATGAACAGCTCGTCACGCAATCACGAAGAAACGCGCGGTCGAACCTGTCGATCAGCTGGATTCTCGGACTTCTAACCACTGACCAGTGCGGGATTCTCAACCATCTTAAAAAATATACGAGGATAGCAATCTGTTTCATGAACTACGAAGTACCGCCTTCTCCCAATCCAGATTTCATTGACAAGATATACGTACGTGTGCTAGGGAGATGGACAGGACATGCGTCAACAGTCGTTCAGATGAGGATGGATCCGTGATGTAGCAATTTGAAAGCATTGAACAAAAATTGATGAAAGGGATCTTTCTCCCCTCTTTCAACCACTGCTTTCACTGGTTGAGTCGAGTCACGTATAAACCATGTAGTTATGTAGCAGAGCTTACATATAATTGCATATATTGCCACGGCGTAGTTATTCAAAAGTAACTTACCTTATTGAATCTCTCAAAAAGGAAATATTGAATCCCAAACCACGTGATATCGCGATCTACCCGCTTCACGTTTTTTGACGCGACTGAAAAAGATAATGGGCAACACGATGCAACGTCAGATCGAGCCGCATGTCCCTGTGGCCAAACAATGTCAAGCAATCACAGCTCCTCGGGGCACCAGGTTGGGTCTCCTCCCAGACGTAGTCTTACTCCACACATCAGCACCCCAAGAGCTGCCGGCAGACTGAATGGGTCCACGGATACCTCATCTCCACTTTCATCCCCGCTCAGCCTGTGTTCTCCCTCCGGCCCACCCTCCTCCTTCATCTCACCCATTCCTCTGGAACGAACCACACAGTGCAATGTCACCTCCAGCCCATCTCCCGTCCCTCATTTTACCAGTGAAGGTGTCTTTTCCAATACGACGATGGGATGCAGGCCGCCGGAAGCCTCTAGTGGCCAACAGCAAACTATCTCATCGTCCAGTGGCCGCTCAAATTCCTTCTCCCAACGGATCGTGAGAGATGGGCAGGTGATCATTACCAACTCCGATGAGGATACAGACTCGCTCTCAGATCTAGAAACCGCAGACGATCTGTTGAATAAATTTCTGAAACCGATTCCTGGCTCAGCTCCCTCCACTTCATCCCCCACCAAGGCTCAAAATGGTAGGGATGATGATAACCGCAGCGGAGCTAGGAGATCGCGGCAACCCTATTCAGGCCTTAGCTCTCTGAAATCCAAGGATTCAATAAATCTACCCAAATATCAATTTTCTCTTGACACTCTTGTTGAGGATGCTGCCAATGACAAGAGAACAGAGGCCAAAGTTGCAAAGATAAAAAAGAGCCTCCAGCCCAAAGCTCCATCGGATAAGGGTCGTGGAGTGCTGCGTGATGATCTGCTCGCTGCAGCTGTGGAGGATGAGACGGATACCAAGGGGATTCAGCGACTCAGAGATGCTGTTGAAAGAACAGAAATGTTTGCGATAGGGAGAAACTGGCTGTTCTTCGAAGAGGACCCACCAGCTGTAGCGCAGCCTAAGTTTCCCTCTAAGTCCGTAGCGCCTGGGACCTGGCAGGTTAATTTGAAAGGTTGGAGCTTTTGCCTGCCGCTTCATGTTCGTTGTTATAGGGGTTGTATATATGTCTGGTATTAACGTGATTCTAGATCCTTCTTCTCGCGGTCGAGCATTTTTCTCAGGGATAGTTGCGGATTCGTTGTCGAGCAACACTCTGCCGGATGAGATACTGCTGTGGATTCTACAAGCTGGTTTGTTCTTCATGTTCTACCGTTCTAATATCATTATTGTGTTAATGAATTTTTAGTCACGACGGAGCAAGACGATTACTTGCGAATGTCATATAGCAATGTATTAATTGTGCGTCATACCAAATCTCCGCGTAAACAAAGTCATACCACTGACCACTGTAGAATTCCACCTCGAGACGTATATCATCGCTCATAAACCCATCCCGTATCGATCAGCTTTTCCAAAGACTTGGGGCAAGGCCAGCCGCGCTTGCTCTATCCAGCAGCCTAGAGCCCGACTATACAATTTCCGATGGTAAATTGTTACCTACCAGTGTATTATATTGGCAACCTGCTGATGTTCTCCTTAGAATATCGGGTTCGAGATCATAAATATCTATTATCAGCACTCCAAATAATACACGCGCTATCAGAAAAGTAGGGAGCCAAAATCTTTCGATAAAATCTATGAACATATAGCTAACCCCTTCCATTCAGGTTCGACGACAACACCCGCGAATATGTACTCAAGGTCATTCTTCGACTTGCCATAGATGAAGGAGTCATGACGGACTGTCTTGTCAGCCTAGAAGTACAAAAGATCATAACGAGCCTGCTGGGAGCTCCAGACAAAATCTCAGACCTAATAGTAAGCGCCCTCATACTCACACATACCCTTCCATTTAAAACAAACCTCTAAACTAACCAAACCCACCAGCTCTACGACATATCCCTCCACCTCTTCAAAACAGTAAAACACCCCGAACTCCAAATCCAACTCCTCAAAAACATCCTCCCCATGAGCTCTCGCATCGCCCTCTTCCGCTGCCGTCTCGCCTGGGCCTACTTCTACCAGGACCCCTCCCCCCTGGACAAACCCCAAGAACACCTCTTCGACCTCCCCCGCCTAACAGCCTACCTTCGCCACGACAAACGCTTCGACTCAAACGCCCCCCGCAACAATCCCCAAACCCCCTTCAATTTCTGGGAACTGCACGCCCTCACCTGCATCCTAGACATAGCCATCGACTCCGGCACGACAAAGCCATCCTTCAGCGGCGGTCGGGAGAGCGAGTTCAATGCCACCGTGGACGGACTGGCGGATGTCATCAAGGCGATATTCTCTGCGATTCGAGATTCGGGGGCGTCGCATTTGCGCAGGTCGGAGGCGAGGGAGAATTTGCAGGCGTTGTATTATCGGCTTGCGTTTGGGGTGAGGACGAGGCCGCGGCCGGCAAAGGCGTTGTTTGTGAAGGGAGAAAGGGCGGTGGAAAAGCGTCAGAAGACGCTCACTGAGCACGTTAAGGTGGTAGGGGATGGTGGTTCAGGTCGGCTTGAAGATAAAGGGGCCCGTTGAAGATGTGAACCCGTCATTATTAAGCATGTGTAATGTTACAATTGGACTGTCTTTATAAAAGCATCGTAGGCGATGAACATTTTGTGTTAAAAGAACATTTTTGAATAGAAATATGTTGTGGAATCGTTCGCAAGACGGGTATCTCTATATTGATTATCCCTTAGTTGCCGTGCGAAGAAGTACATAAAGAAGGAAAGTACTTGGACGGGCTCTAGAAATACGGCAAATCAACGTCCAAGAATATAGATGCGAACTGCGCTTGGGGCCGTGTAGATAACAGCCTGCTGCAAAACATACGTAGATCGTGGCACACAAAATCAGAAATGCGACTGACACCAGCGATAAGAGAGCAAGCACGTTGTATCAGAACAGATGGACAGATAGTGACAGCCAAAAAAGGAAAAGGAGAGCGAAATAATCGCTCGGAGTACAAGCTGTATAGACGAATGCACCCATCATCAAAGGTGGTTAAACAGAAAGGAAACTCATTAAGAACAAATATATATAAACCCCCCCAAAAAAAAGGTAATGAACAGATGATGGGTAGCCCTAATCATAAAACTTGCGGTTCTTATTCTTGCCGAACAACGTTTCCCGGACTGCCGGTAGAGCATCAATCTCAAGGAGCCGCAGCCGTTCTTCAAAGGTGTTGTTGATGTCAATTTTACCTGCTGTACCGATGATAATGACACCACCCGCTCTAGAAAATGGGAGGGAAGACGTTAGCAAAATAAAAATAAAAATAAAAATAAAAATGAAAAAGAAAGAAAACAAAAAATGAAGCCATTCACAGCAGATATATGAGGGCAGAAAACAAATGTTGGCATTAAAGAAATACCGAGCACTTACGACCCTTCAGGCAGCGGATCACTCTCCAGCAACTCCACACTACTCTCCCTCCCCACCTTCTCCTTAAACTCCGCCTCCGCCTCCCCAATTGCCTTCCGGACAACCTCATAATCCTTCTTCCTCGCCCGAACCTGCACCTTCTTCTCATTCAACGCATACAACCCCTCCAGCACCAACCCCTTCAACGTCGTCTGATACCCACCGCCTCCCTTCTTGCCTCCCTTCTTGGCCCCCTTCACCGCCACACTCGCCAACTGCGCCCTCGCCTGCTCAAAGAGTTCATCCAAAAGCTCCTGGCGGGCTGTCAAGACGCGCAGACGGGTTTTGTTAGCGAGTGTTGAGCGGGTGATTTGCTGGGACATGGAGGCCTGTTTGAACTTCTTCTCGTAGAGGTGGTCGATGGCTGCCGTTTCTTGGCGGACGAGTTTGGATTTTTCGATGGCAAATTCTTCATCGGCTTTCAGCTGGATTTCGCGGGCTTTTTCGAGGGCTTCTTGGCGGATGAAGGCGGTCATTTTGCGGAGTTCACCCGCGACCTAGTTCAGGTGAGCTACCTTGCTAGATATTTTGTTTTCCATATTCATTGTTTCTTGTGGATTGGAGGTGGGACATTGGCTTGGGAGGTCTACCTGGTCGTCGGAGAGGGCATGGCTTTGTGACATTTTGGCGGAGGTAGGGGTGGTGAAGCTGGTGTCTTGCGGAGATTAGAGAGGAGAGAGGGGGTGGGTTTATAGATGCCACCAGCTACGGTAGATAGCGGCGGGAGTGTATTGTATTGTATGTACGCTGCGTTCTGCGTTCTGAGGGGCGGGATCAAGCAGCGCGACTGACCGGGTGTGTGGACTCCTGGATATCGTGATTAATTAATAGACGTGGAATGCAGTACCTAAAATATCCACAGAAGTGTGTACACATCTGGATGGAAGGGTTGTCTGTCGTTAGTTATGAAATCTTACCCTAAAAGTCACCTGGCCCAGTCAGGCTAGCGTGGGCCCTGCCTGCCCTGGATTAGGTAAGCAGCCCTCGCCCGGAAACCTCGATTATGTATAACAAGTTAACTATTGCAGCACCAACAAACTACCGAATACATATAATCTACTCCCACTCTTCATAGGAGAACTGAATCTACCGGCCTTTTTTATTGTATCTTACCCCAACGCTGGCAATGTCTCTCATCCATAGGTAGCATCTCGAGGTCGATGCCCCACTTCTGCTGTTCGCCGCTGTGTCCCCCGCTGATGCATGAGGATACCAGGAGGACATGGGACGGTTAGGGGGCCTGTCGCCGAGCGGAAGTATTGCGGTACGTCCATACACCCATAAGCCAACTTCGTATCCTCAACTTATACCCCCTTAAGATCGGAGTCTTTGTTGGCTTGATATCGACAAGCCTCCAGGCCATTGGCCTGACCCTCCAACGCAAGTCGCATCTCCTGGAGGATGAAAAACGACCGTATGATTTGCGCCGGCCCCCATACAAACGGAGACGATGGCAGGTGAGGACTACCAACCTGCGAGATGGATAGCGAATAGGAGTTTGATATACTGATCTATAAATTAATTAGTTGGGAATGCTCATGTTCGTCGTCTCCAACATTGTCGGTAGCACGATACAAATCACAACCCTTCCTTTACCGGTGCTGTCGACTCTACAAGCCGTTCGTTCAACCTCTTTCCCTCATATGTACACCTACAAACAAGAGAAGATCTAACGTATATCTCCTTTAGTCTGGACTTGTCTTCAATACGATATTTGCAGCCTTGATCCTACGAGAGCCATTTACCCGCTGCTCGATTTTCGGCACGATCCTCGTCTGCCTCGGAGCCATTTTGATCGGCACATTCGGAGCGATTGGAGAGCCTGCGCATACTCTAAACCAATTACTGGTCCTTCTTGGCCGCCCTCCATTCTTGGTGTGGATGGCTGGAACAACCGGGGTTGTAGTGCTGACCATTCTGGCCGCTCGCCTGCTTAAGCTGGTATCCACGCCTGGCAGAACCCGAGAGTGGATGATACAACACTGCATAACCATCCCATGCACGCCGTCTTTCTATGGCCACAATAGTCCACGCATTAAAATGATGCGGGGCATGATGTACGGATCTGTCAGTGGGATTCTGTCTGCGCACTCTCTCCTGGTCGCCAAATCCGCCGTCGAGCTGATTGTGCGCACCATAATAGACCGCGTGAACCAGTTCAACCGCTGGCAGTCATGGATCATCCTTCTAGGCTTGATTGCACTTGCTCTCACGCAGCTGTATTATATGCACTCTGGCCTCAAGCTGTGTAGTACCAGCATTCTCTATCCCTATGTTTTCTGCATATACAACGTCATCGCTATTCTAGATGGATTGATATACTTTGATCAAGGCTCACGGCTTTCGCGCTTATATGCCGGTCTAATAGCCCTAGGTACCATAATACTCTTATCCGGCGTTCTCTGTTTATCCTGGAGGTTAGAAGATGCCACTGCTCACCCGAACAACGTGCCAGCGGGTCCAACACCAACCCCGCTAGCCCCCGGACTAGGCCCGCTCGAAGAACAACTCACCCCACCAGAATACTTCTACTATCCCGACGACGAAGAAACAGCCTTAGGGGAACGACAACCCCTCCTCCAACAACAACAACAACAACAGCAACAACAACAGCAGCAGCAGCAGCAGCAGCAGCAGCAGCGGAAGCCTTCTCCCCTACCCCACTTCTACACACGCAGCTTAAGCCACCTCCCACTCCGACTCCGCAGAAGCACGCAACCCAGCCTCGAAACCGCCGAAATCTGGGCTGACCTAGACGACTCCGGAGAGACCCTCGATCCCGACCTAGCAACACCCACCTCACCTCTCCTCACATTCACCTCCTTCCCCCACAGACACTACCGCAGCAAAAGCAGCACAATCCCCTCCCTCTCCTACAACAACAACAACAACAGCAGCAGCAGCAGCAGCAGCAGCAGAAAGCGCTCAATCGGCGTCTCCGGCTGCAGTGAGAATAACCCTCCACTCACCAACGATCCATCCTCTCCATCCCCGCCCCGACTAACATTGAACAACCACCAACAACGACAAATCCGCAGACTCCCCCGCGCATCGTCGTGGACATGGGACTTGTCCTCCCGACGTGTACGGTTCGCGGGCCGCGGAAGCCTGCGCAGTAGCAATGGCGGCGGCCAGTGCACGCCATCGCGACGACGAGTGTCTTCGCCGTTTATCAGGGATTATAGATGTGGAGCTGTGCAGAGGGAAGTCTGTAGTGCCGCTACTGCTGGCGCCGTTGGTGGTGTCGATGGTGCCGGTACTTGTGCTGACTCCAACGCCCGTGCCCGTGCCCGTGCCCGTGATCTTGGCGACGTCGGTGTTGATCACGATGGAAGAGATCATAGGCCTCAGCACCGATCGCAATTCACGGGTCCCTTGCGCTGGTTAGGGCAGTGGGTGGGGTCCCGGAGGCGGAGGACAGAAGAGGGGGGAAATGGGAGGATGAAAGATTCCGATGATGACGGAGATGGAGAGCGAGAGCGGGACCGATAAATGTTGGGTATGGCGGGGTAGATATTCCGGGTGTACCTAGAAAGGGGGATGTTTGGTACATGTTACTTCATCCTTATTCCACATTTGTCTGTTTTTGTGTACGCTGCTTCCCATGCATGCGGTGACTGTGCGTGTTGTGTTTCAACAATAAATATATCATGTGCTATAGCTATAGCTCCATATAGCGCACACTTTTGCGACGTGTATGTACATATGCTCCATAAACACAGCTCGCAAGGAAAAGTACAAGGCGTAGATTCCTTAACTTTCCGTATCGATGAGATAGAAGAGAATGGAGTAAGGGGCTGGTCCCAACAAACAACCCCCGATTCTCCAAATAATACTGGGAGATATTCGCACAAGCAGCGCTCGACTCCACCGTAGAAACCCGCCACGCATATTTATATTTAACCTCTTTGCCCCATTTAGCTTAAGTTAACCCGAACTTGGCCATGCTGATGTTACTCATCTCTCTGCTTTCGTTTTAGTTTTTATTCCCACTCCATCCCCTCAACCCACTCAACCCAATTCCAAAAGGAGCATCCACTACCTGTAGTTTTCGGAGTGTATCTGGTGAATCCATTCAAGCCAAACAAGCGATAAACTCCAGCAGAGTCCTAACGTTCGTAGTAGTTAAAGCCATCCAAAATCAACTAACTAATAACTAGTTAACTAACCGCCTCATTGTAAGTAATCACTCTACGCAACTACTTTTTTCAAACACAATGCCATTACCATAACTAACCACCCACCCACTCCAGCTCCATAGATCTCAGACCACAGGCTCTATACGCGCTAAGCAATGAATACTATTTACATAAAAACAAAAGCAAAGAAAGAGGTGAACGGGTGAACGAATTAAATGAATTAAAATAAATTACCACCTTCAAAAGTTTCACTATCAAACTAACAAAAAAACATCTACTACCTTTTGTCAATCCCAGATAAAATAAAAACGTAAAAATTATAGAAGCAAATAAAAGGGAGAAGGGAAAAAAAATACGAAAGCAAAGAAAACAAAAACGAAAATAAATTTATTAAAAAAAAAAAAAAAAAAAAAAAAAAAAAAAAAAAAAATTAAATAAATAAATAAAAGTTTAAAAGAAAAGAAAAAGAAAAAGAAAAAACAGGTATAGTTAAACCAAATAAATTCCCGAAAAAATAATCTCAGCTGTTCCCCCAGCTACCACATCCCTTTTCTTCCCTCTCCGGCCCCAGCCCCGGCCCCTCGTCATAAAAAGTCGTTCAAGTACCAGTATATACCATCTCCGTATCCTCTTCGCCTTGCCTTGCCTGCCCTTTCATTCCAATCCCGTAACGAGGAATCAAAAATAACGATAGACTGTTTAACCCCTCAGGCGTCGAAGTTCAACAGAATACACCGTCTACTCAAAGCTGACAACCGGCGAAACAACGAAAAACCTAATTCAAATACCAAACCTAACGATAACTTCCAACAACGATGGAATGCACCCCACAGACGCAGAGCTAAAAAGAAGCAGAAAGAGGGGAAGCATAAACGGGGGCTGAAGATAAACACATAAACATCCAGCCCGTAACCCCCAATAAAGCGGGAAGAAAAGGAAGACGATACGTACCGTCGCATAGAACTTATAAAAGAAAGGGGACGAAAAGAAAAGAAATAGAAAAAGGGACAAAAACAACCCGCCCCCTTTCTCCGCTCACTGTTATATAAATAGCGATAGAAAAAAAGGAAACAAGAAAAAATAAAAAAACTACCAGCATTGAAAAAAGCAAGAGAAAAAAGGAGTGAAAGAAAGATACGCAGCTCCGCCTTGTGAATCATTGCTCCGCAAAAAAGGAAAAGAAAAACACCCATCCATCCGTCCATCCATACATAAATAAGATATAAAGCAAACAAACAAACAAAAAAAAAAAAAAAAAAAAAAAAAAAAAAAAAAAAAGAGAGAGAGAGAGAGCCCTTGATTCCCCGTTAACCTGCCCTGTCTAGAGTGAACACGAGCCGAAACTGCATCTGGAGGGAGGGGAGAAAGGGCGCGAGGGCTGAGGGCGCGGGCGCGGAGACAGGGTGTGAAATCGCGACGAGGCGGTGGCTGGAGGGGAGGAAGCATATATAAGGTTTATATATAGCTAGGTATTTAATACGATACGGTGTGAATGCTTGATACCAGCCTTCCCCCGTCATCCATTCCACCCTTTTCTCCGTTCGCCCCGCCTAAAAGTTGAAAACATTGGGTAATTTTTCCCTTTGACCTTTTCTTTATTTAATTTTTTTTTTGGGAGGGGTTTTTGTGTTTATAAGAATTTTTAGCGCTGCTCTGGGTATAAGTGTTTTATCCTTAATTTTGTTATTCTGTAACATGGCACGTTAGTTGCCATGACGGATTTGTAGGAGGGTGAGAGTGAACGGAGTTTTGAAGGAGGGCGGGAGGGAGGAACGTCAAGTGAAGGGTAGTTAAATAGGGCAGATGTAAGATACAACAACGAAGGACAAATTAACGGGAAAGTACATAGAAATAGAGAATGGCAAAGTGAAAAAGCGTCATTATCAAAATATCATGGACTAGTCATGTGTTGTTTCTGTTTTGATTGCTCGCTTTTTTTTTTTTTTTTTTTTTTTTTTTTTTTCCGCTAGTTCAACGTAGCCGTTCTTTTTCCTTTCATGAAATGACCCAAGGGGAAATGAAGGCCAAGGGAGAGTAGTACCGCAACGCCATAACGTCGATTTTTCTTCGTTCTCATTGAGCCCATAAGTGCGGAAAAGTTGTGGCATCACATTGCCAGTTGGGTATCAATCGGGAGGGTAAGGCATCCATGCGCGATCAAAATAATAGAAGGAAAACAGAGAGAGAAAGAGAGAGGAATGGATACACGAAACAATTAAAGAAAGTACGAGGCAGAAATGTAATAGTATCAAACGACGAGCGGCACGCCGATCTTGACGCCAACGAAAAGCCAGGAGTGGAATGACAGAGAAGCAGGGCTAAAACGTAAAAAGAAAGGCGATGGGGTCGGGTAATAAGCACGGGGGTTGAGAAAAAGGGAAACCTATGCAGCAGGTTGATGTTGCTGAGGTAGGCGTGCACCAATTGGCATACCTGTATACTGACCTCCGGCCTGTGCTTGTTGCTGCTGTTGTTGTTGGAGGTTTTGGTAATATGCAATTTGTTGCTGATGCTCACTGGACATGTATCCGGGATGCATAGCGCCAGGACGGGGAATATTGGGCTGTTGGCCCGCGACATTGGCGTGACTGACATCGTCTGAAGCTTCCGTGGGGACTTCGGGTACTTCAACGCCGTTCTCTGCGCTGGCAGGCTCTGGGGCATTGAGGCATGCCTGTAGTAGAGAGGAAGGGCAATCAGCTCTTCGAGTCCCATTTTGCAAGGCAAGTGTTTGGGGGGGGGTTGTCAATGTCTTTAGACAGCAGCAATCATACCTGGATGAGATTCTTCCCCTCTGGTTTGGTGACGAGCGGTTGGAGTTTTGGAGTGGTGAACGTGTAAACCAGACCTGTTTCGGATACCACCAGGAGCAGGACCTGGGTGCCCGTGAGGACGGACAGTTCATATGCCTAGATTCAGACAAGAATTCATGTTAATACCGTGTGAAGAAAAGGAATAATAACAGGACAAAGAATACGACGATGTGATTGATGACATGTATGCGACAAGAAGAAGGTGTTGAGAAGTTGTTAGAAGAGTAAAACACACGTTGTGGGGGATATTGAAGGTAATGTTGCGGTGGTCGTGGTGGTGGTGGTGGAGCAAATATCAAATGCAAGTAGGGGAGGTATAGATGGAGCAGGAATACGGTGCTGACCTTCTTCATTATGCCAGCCTTTCGCTTGGAAAAAGTGATGTGGCGACGCGATTTATCCTGGATGAACTTGATTTCTATCTTCCGGCGCTCACGGCCAGGCTTTTCATCATCATCATCATCGTCATCGGCCGCGTTGCTGATGCGAGGGCGTTTAGTAGTGCGATTCTCAGCGGCGGCGGCGGCGGCGGCGGCGGCGGCAGCAGCAGCAGCAGCAGCACCACCACCACCACCACCACCATTGCCCCCGGACACGAGGTCGTCCTGGGAGGGAGAAGGGTTTTCGTCAGCGACGGCGGTGATATCAGCCATGGCGACGGTAGGGGTTTGCGAAGCGGTGGGAGCAGCGGAAGGCCGTCGAGGATGGGATGGGGATGGGATGGATATGGGCGGGTTGGCCGAAAGAGGAATGATGTTTGCGAAGATCGAAGGGCAGGCCGAATCGAGTAACGCGTTGGCAGAGGAAGGAAGTCGGGAGTTGGTTTGGGAAGGAGCGAAGGGGAGGTTAGACCGCTTATGGAAGGGCGGCTGACTCACGGCTGACTAAGGGGGCGTGGAGATAACTAGTTAGTTTTAACTAGGAAACGAACTCACACTCGTTAAACTTCCAAGAAGGCTTATTACTGTCCAACTGCCTAATACAGCCTGTCCCCCTTGCTCTGCGGTGTTTAATCCATCCACGCCGCCAGACCGCTGGACAGACAGATGACAGTGCGTGCCGCCCTCTGCTGTGTCCATGGCCCCCAATTGCCCCCTTGTGCTGGGACATGTACATCGAGCACATACATACCATTATTCCAGACCGGAATGCACCCCCCCCCTGATACCACCCACTTGAACAAGGGCAGTTCCACGCCTGATGCACAGGAATATCCGGCGCTGTCTCGAGGCTCAAACACACTTTCCCGCCGGGTCAGCCATGCCACTCTTGGACACGATGGGAGCCTGATCATCCGCACACGGCACACCGCCAGTGCATGCAAGCACCACGCACCACCGGCTGACTAATGGGACCAAAACAGCATCAAGCTGTTCGCAGCGAATCACAGCCCGGACCCCACGGCGCTTACTCCCCAGCGAATCTTGGGCAGCAGACTGGAAGGAAATGTATGCCCGGTGGGGGGGAATGTTCTCCTATCTCGGGTGTCGCCACACCCCCCAATTTGGTGCAGACAAGAGGCGCTGGGACAAAACTGGTGTCTGGGTTGATGAGTGGATTGTTTATAATTACGGTTCCATTCATTCGATGCGGGGGAAATCTAATTTATCCCGCAAGGGGAAAGACGCCAAAAATATAGGCTAGTGTAGAGTAGTAGTTGGTTTGAGTGCAATGCTCTTTTGCTCCTCCTGCAGAAAGCTTTCAGCGTTATGGTATTGTGAAAAATTAACTGGCTCATCAGTGACATGTAATGTGAGATTGCCATGGTAACTACACCTAACTAGATTTATACATAACCCAGAAGAAGATTTACTCTTGCACGTCTGACACTCCCAGAGTCCCCAGGAAGTGCAGTGCTGTCTTCTGGGGAGAACACAGAGCACTTGCAGCAAGTTCATGGCAAAGGACCATAATCACTATTTACAGTGAAAGAAGTGCGAAACATTTCGTAATGATCATATGAGGATGGCGGTGAAGCTCTGTATCTTAAAGCACTGAGTCCTGCCAGAGACGGTACCGCTGTTTATCTGACGGAAGGAGGCAGCACTGTAAACGCTGACTGGCACAGAGATGGCGGATTGCATCCCATGAAAAAGAGTCATAGCTGTGGCGTGGGACAATGGCCCGAATGGAATACCTCTCCAATAATTGGAAGGACCCTTGGCCCATTCGACGCCGGGGTTCTCCCATAACATTTGCAGAGACTGACGCTGCTATCGAATAGACAAGGGCATGGGTTGGCGGGGCTTTTTGACGACATCATACCATCGATATTAACTATGGACATGTCCGACAGATGCTGGAGCTGGGAGTAGACTTGGGTATATAATATAGCAGAGTTTTTTAAAATGCAAAGGACTATCGACAGGCGACAGCGCTCAACCCGTCCGTCCATCCAATGGGTCCAGCGTGTTTCCCACTCCCAGATGGTTTTTAGTTTCTTTGAGAACCTGGGAACATACATGACCGGGGATTTACAGTATAGAGATTATATATTTAGTCAGATAGATAGGATTAGGGCTATGGAGATCGACGGTTCTGTAGAAAGCAAAATGAGGTTCAGGTTGGCCAGTGGCTGCGAGTGGGATTCTAACTAAACATACCCAAGATAGAGGCATCCAGTTAAATAACGAGTTATCTGATACATTCATTCATTCCCACTGGTTTAGCTGGACGAAGGCGGATGTTCACATTCACGAGGACATCAAGGGAAAAACAACGAAGAAATCTTGCTGTGATAAAAATATTTTGATTTCACCATATCTGCAAGTTAAAATTTAGATGCTGCTTAACCCTCGTTTGTTCTAGCAACCGCGTTTACTAACCCTCGTCCCTGGAGTTAGTTAATGGGGATCTAATTTAAATAGTGTCTCAAAGCCACCAACAGATCAATTTTTACAATCAAATACGAACTTCATCAGAAAGTACTGTTGCTATCCAATCCAATAAATAGGATTCACAAGGTATCAGTACCCAATCATCCTGCGCCCTCGCTAGCTCGTCTTCATCGCATCTTTCGGCGAGTGCGTATATCCCGCATTTCCAGGCGGCATGAGAAATGCGGAGGAATGCCGCTGAGCATCAGCGTGAGATGACATCGTCCAAAACTGCAATCATCTATTAACTCCATAATGGGGGTTCGGAGGTCCCATACGAAGTCGCGGAATGGCTGCATCCAGTGCAAATCCCGACGCATCAAAGTCAATAAGCCTCACTAGCTCGCCACATTTCTTCTATCTTATGTCCGAGCCCTCCGCAAAAACAAGGGGGAAGGGTAACTACGTCCGCTGACACTACGTCTGGCTGCCTTGCGGGGAGGCAGGCGGGAAATCTAGTGCGATGAGCAACCTCCACAATGTTCAAACTGCGCGCGGAGAGGAACTGCATGCGACCTCGCACACCGTGCTTTATCAGCTCCATCATCATCATCACCATCATCATCATCATCATCATCATCATCATCATCATCATCATCATCATCAACAACAACAACAACAACAACAATAGTAGGATCACCGTCGACAACTACTTCCTCTGCTCACTCGCGTTCTCCCACTCTCCCGCTCGTCGGGATCCCCACTAGTGCGTCCAACATCCCAACGAGCTCGGGTTTAGACGTAACTGACCTTGAACCCCTCCATCACTACACAACCTTCACCTACAAGACCCTACCCTCAGGTGCGACCCAGGGCCAGCACGAAATATGGCAGATGCAAGTAGTCCAGCTAGGATTCCACCATGAATTCCTACTCCGTGGCATCCTGGCGGCCTCCGCTTTACATCTATCCTACCTGCGACCCCAGCGACGGGAGTCATTGGCTTTGCGTGCATCCACCCATCAAAGCATGGCCGTGCAGTCTTTCCACATTGCATTGAACCGCGTCGACCCTTCAAACTGCGAAGCCATCTTTGCATTTTCCTGCATCCTCGTCGCGCTTACCTTTGCCGCACCCAAGAGCCCAGGGCTGCAGGGCTTAGCCGCCCAGAAGGAGATTCTGGACTGGTTCCACATGGTTCGCGGCTGTAACTCCGTCCTGCAGACGCAGTGGGAGACTCTATCACACAGCTTCCTCGCCCCGCTTCTGAACAAAGCTATGACGCAGCAAACCGCACCCTCGCATACGGTCACTGACTCACATCGGGTTACCGACCTGCTACGGCTTTGCACCTCCGACAGCGTAGCGCAGGACAAAGAGACAGCCAACGCATACGCGCTGGCAATCCACGAGTTGCTCAATGCATACACGCAGGTATCTGTGCTAGCAGGGCGCGGTCAGGACTTTGTGCCAGTTATCTTCGTGTGGCCGATAATAATTCCGCAGACATATCTGATTCTCCTAGGCGAGCCCAAGCCGGAGGCGATGGTCATCCTGGCCCATTATTCGGCACTGCTGCAACAGGTGGATGACCAGTGGTTCATGAAAGGGTGGGCCCGATATTTAGTGATGCAGATTGCAACGGCGCTCGGGGAGGAATGGCAGGCATGGCTGACCTGGCCGAAAGAAGTGACGGGGGTTCAAGTTGCTCCGCCCCAGTGAGATTCCGAAGTGGTGGGGTTAGAAATAGTTCAAGGTTTTAGGATGGAGGTTAGGAGAGCGTCGATCAGGCAGTGCCTGTCGAGGAGGCGTTTTTTTTTTTTTTAATTGATTTATTTATTTACTTTATTTATTGAAGAAACAACGCAGGCGAAATATCTGGGCTGTCACCTTTTGTGCCGTGCCGTCTCGAACTGCCGCAGAACGACATTTACGGACCTCTCGCAAAGGGAGCAGCCGGATAGAGGTCGTATTATCTCCCCTTTGATGCCCTTGCTCCTTTTCCCGGAAGTATCAGGTTGATCTATGCATTTTTCCCTATCTGACGTCTGACACGACTGTACACATTTTTTGGCCCACATGGCATCTTTATTTGTAAATGTTAGGACGTGATTGGCTATATAACTCCAAGGAGCTGCAAATTTCCCCTTCGTTTACAACGACAGGAGTCTCAAACGTGAGGCTTCCGCGAGCTCGCGGTTTGGTTCTGTGTTCAAAACCCATTCATTCCTGAAATTAAGCGCATTGCAGCTGTGAGGAAACATCTTCCACTGGAACCGACAGTTGCTATAACACTCCTCACATCCTTTAGAGCATGGCTGTCCTTGTTGTTTGACGTGCCATCCCCCTCTCCGTGGGCTGTAACTGTAGAAGTTAGCCAGCCCTTCCACGGTCAAATCACGGGAATAGCCCTTTTCCTTGGCAGCTCCAACCATCTCCACCGCCATCTCAACCCCCATCAACTCTCAACTCTCAACTCTCAACTCTCAGCTCTCAGCTCTCAACTCTCAACTCTCAACTCTCAACTCTCAACTCTCAGCTCTCAGCTCTCAGCTCTCAGCTCTCAGCTCTCAGCTATCCCCATCGCAACCACACCCTCCAAAGCTCTCACCCTCCAAAGCTCTCTGTTTTAAATAAAGAACTGATCTACCAGATTAACCATGAAAAGTCCCAACACAACCCCTGCCAGAGCAGCAGCGTCTAAAATATCCCTAGCTCCCTGCCAAATATATCCACGCAGCTAACCGCCAGCCTCTCAGGGAGCCACAGCCTGGCAGGCCAACTCTGAAACCTCAGCGGTTGCGCATCTGTAGCAGAACGCTGCCTTCAGTTCCACGAAGATGAACTGCTCATGCAACGAGCAAAATGAAGTGCGGTAACAGTTGCTTCTGCTGCTGCTTCTCCTCCTCCTCCTCCTCCTCCTCCTCCTCCTCCTCCTCCTTCTTCTTCTTCTTCTTCTTCTCTATCCTGCCTTGTGTCAGTTGGGATCTAATCGCTGGTTAGCCCACTTGGCCTTGTATTGCATCTGCTTTCTCTCCCTCCATCCCTCCCCTCCCCTCCTATATTTTATCCTGTGCTCGCTGGCTTTCTTTACACTAATACGGTAACTTTTCGGGATGAGGATCCAGATGCACTACATAGCCTCTCCTTAGGATTCTTCATTTCCTTCTGTTTCTTTCCACTTTACATTGTCATTCATTTGTTTTTTTTTTTTTTTTCTTCTTTTTTTCCCTTTCTTTTACCTTTCTTTTTTCTTTCTTTCTTTCTTTTTTCAACCACTATTGGCGTCGTCTCCGCTCTGTAAAATTCAGAGACGCTGGCGCTGGTCGTCAATAGCCTTTTCTCTTTCATTTCGACCGCGGATCTGGATCCTATTATTTGACGTCAATCAGGTTACGCCTCTACTCCGCTTTTCCTGTGAAAGGCGTCGTTATTTTGAAAGCAGAGAGGAAGCGAGCGACGAGTGGGAAAATCCGAACATAGTAGAGAAGCTGGGAGTGCAGGCACTCCAAATTGATAGATATTAAAAGAAAGAAGCACGACGAGACTTGGAGAGTTCAGTCTTGATAGCAAATCGGGGGATATGGTCAATAAGATCCTCGCCACCTTCTTTGCGGCAGACGGACTTTTCGTCCTTGGAGGCGCCCTTACTCTCGCCGTTGGGCTCATCAGCAAATCCCAACTGGACGCGGTACCGACACTGGATAATATCGCGCATATCTTGCTGTTGTCCCACTGCCCTATAACCGGTTCGTCTCCCCTGATCGCCCTTGGTAGAAAAAACAAAATATTTGCAAAATGCACATACGGCAATCGCCCTTTTCACTACTGACGCTGAAACACTTTTTTGCTTCTAGCCGCAATCGTGAACGCCGTTTTCGTCTTTTTCACATTCATCTTGTCGCTGCCGGCAATTATACGGGGGACAGACCGACTGTGGTTCAAAATCCATGGCTGGTTCGTCGTCTTGTGTGGCATCTTCACTCTCTGTTTGGGCTTAAGTATCTGGTTCGAAACGCTGAAGACCAGGTCGAAATTGGGAATTATGTGGGGCACACAGACTCCTCGAGTGCAGAGTTTGTTACAGCAACGAGTACGTTTTTAACACCCCCACTGTTAAAGTGAAGGGTTAAAGGGGATGAAAGAAATAACGCATTGTTGGAAATATGCTGACCAAGTCGGATGCTTTTACAGTTTGACTGTTGCGGATATCTAAACAGCACCTCTCCGCCATTCCAGGTCGATCAAGCATGTCCGACTCCACTCGTCGCTGCACAGAAAGCGGGCTGCGTCGGACCCTTCTCCGATTACGCAAATCACTTTCTTGATGTAATTTTCACGGCTGATTTTGGCGTTGTTGGTTAGTTTTTTTTTTTTTTTTATTCCCCTGTTACTACGTACCATAGTATACAGTTGATTGGCAGATGACACGAATAGGAGGATATGGTGGTTTATAAGCAATGAAGAAAAGAAGAAAAAGAGATTAAACGAGTAAATGCTAACCCTTATATATTCTAGCCATCGATGCCCTCCTTCTTCTCTGCATTGCAATTGTCCTTAAGGACCGCAAGGAGCGCGATCGGTATCGCCTGATAGATTCAAAGAGTGGATTCGATCCTATATAAACGGGATTGAACTCATATCCCCCCGCTGATAGGGTCTCTTCATTTTCATTCCCCTTCCTTAATACTGCGCGTTTCGTCTCTCCACATGCTTTTCGTTTTGCTTTATACAAATTTCATCCTGGCCCCTACGTGTCATTTCCAGACGCCCTTTGAGTTCTAGCTTTCCCCCCCCCCCCTCTTCAATTCTGTCGTCAGCGGAAATACCCTGCAGATTGTTCATGTCAAACTTGTTAATGATATCTTACCCTGCTGCAGTTCGACCCTTTTATTTTTTATTTATTTATTTATTTATTTATTTATTTTTTTTTTTTGCATGTAGTATCGTCGTCCATGTAAAATAAGTATATAGCAATTTTATTTAGATAGCTACAGCAATAGCTATACCACGTGCGGCAATTAACAATATCTATAGATATACCTCTATATGTTCTCATTTGCTGTGTGTTTCGTTACGTGCATTATCTTCGTAGGATGGGTTATTTCATTAAGTTGATACATGTGTCGGTAAAGGTAGAATGCTGGGATATCGATGTCGATGAAGACGAGGAAAAATGGACCAAAAAAGAAAAGAAAAGAAAAAGAAAAAAGAAAGACAGAATAATGGGGAAAGGTAATCTAATTTGCAATTCTTCATACAGAGTACATACACACCATATCCTTTACCATCATCACCAGCCAAACAAAGAAATGTCAATATATAAAAAAAAGAAAATAAATAAATAAAACATAAAAATAAAAAATGAAAGTGTATTGTTTAAGTTAGTTTAAGTGTAAGTGCATGTACCTAAGCCTTTTCTTCTGTATATTGAACAAAACAACCAACCTACCGAACAAGCCAACCGAGTTTCGACAACATTTGGATCGAGTGCGCATGATGTATGTGTGGAACTGTACATCGATTGGTGAAGAAGGAAAAGGGAAAAGAAAAGAAAAAGAAAAAGAAAAAGAAAGAAAGAAAGAAAGAAAAAGACCCGGACACGCCCACCCTGAACGAAAAAGAAACTCCATTCTGATGCTCCTGACTTCCCAATTTCGCCGTATGTGATGTGGTGTGTGCATATATGTGTGTATATTGTTTTCATGAAATGGAACGGAGCGGAACGGAAACTGTAGGACAATGTTGGTGGTCGTTGGGTAGATGGATGAGGAGAGGAGTCGGCAGCAAGATGGGATAGGAGTGTGTTTTGCGAGTGTGAGTGTGAGGAGAGTGAGAGATGTGGTAGAGGACGGAGACGCTTAGGAAAACGGAAAATGTGGGTTCATATAAGAACCATTTTCACGACCTGCCTTCTGTTTTACCTATCTTTAATCTCATTTCGTTTTAGTTTGCCAGTTTTGCCTTCTGGTGGGTTTAGTTTCTTCTTACTCGATGTTGAAGTTGTTGTGCTTCCAGCATCGCCGTCTCCACCAAAGGTGGAAGCAGGTGTTGGCGCAGCAAATTCCATGGCCGCTGCCATGTCCGGGGTAGTTCCGTTTTTCAGTTTGCTTGGTGGGGTGGACTTATTGCTGGAGTATTTCTTTGGGGTGTTGAGTCTCTTCTTCTTAGGGACGGTTCCAGTGCCCGTTTCATCGTCGCCGTTGGAGAGGGAGCGTTTGAGGTTTGACGGTTTCATGGGAGGAGGCACCGGTGTACTTGTTCCGCTTTCTAGTGGGGTGAGTATGCGTTTGGTCTGTCTGCCTGACAATCCGAGGCATCTATCGAGGTGCTGGGCGACTCTGGTGACGACGAAGTAGCGCGGACAGTTTGGACATTTCACGGTGGGGAATGAGATTTTCTCAGTCGTGACCTGTTTAAATGAGTTTGCTGGGGTTGAAGGGGTGGATGGTGGACTGGATGCAGGTGTATTTGCAGTAGTTTGCTGTTGCGGCTGTTGCTTCTTCTTCCTGTTTATCTTGTCGGTTGCAAATGGATTACCATGAACATCATGGCCAGGCATGATGATTGGGGGATGCTTTTTACAGTACTCTTTGCATGGATCAGGGGGAGGCCTAGCGCCAACACCGGTAAGCGGGTAGAGAAGGCGAGGAAGGCGACAGTTCGGGCACAGGATTTCTTTGGTCGTTTGTAATGGATTTCCTTTGAGATAAACTTTTCCATTTTCGTATATTGCACCGTCTGTCTCGACTCTGACAGCCTTGTTGACCTTTTTGTTCACAATAGTCGAGACAGTTCCGCTTTCAGATTCCCTAGGTTCGTTGGTTTGTATGCGGGCTGCTTCTTCTTCACCAAGCTTCTTCGCAAGAACGACGGCTGACCTCATACGTGCTATTTTCTCTTCACGATGTACTTCGGCGACGATATCATGGATGATGTTGTAAATAGTGTCATCGAGAAGTCTCCGTGCCTGGATACTGGTTAGACCATACACAGTCATGAGGTTCCACGGACCGGAGAGTGTTCCCCATGCCTGCGGAATGGAGATGACATTATTCTATTGGGGCTTACCAGTTTAGACATAGTTGCAGATGGGATAACGTTGTCTGTCTCCGGGTTGCTAGCCATGCTGAAAGTCGTTTTCCTGGTCTGGAACCTCCAATCAGTTAATATAGGACGGTGGAAGTTGACCAAAACACAGAAACAGATATGCGATGCAGTAGCATATAATGCGTCAAAGACTGTAGCGCTTGCCAGCCTGACGAGAGCCAGAATTGCCAAATCTCCACGCTTTCCTAGCAAACCAACATTGAGGATAGCTCACATTGAATAAATACATGGAAGTAGCTTCAATATGGACAGAATCGGGGCTGACCTGATGATTAAAAGGATATAGTTGATCTAGCTCAAGGAGGCCTGAGCAAGATGCACCCGCTCCAAGCACGGGTTTCTTGTTTCCCAAGGTAATTTGTATGCCCCCATGCGTCTTAAACCAAAAGCAACGTCGTCCGGCTGGCTTGGGAGGAAGCTTGGAAACTCGTTTGGTATACCACCTCCAGAACTAGCTATCTCCAACTGAGAGTACGTGCGGTTGAACGGCACCCGTTTGTATCACTGGGACGGGGGTTATGCTAAAACGGCGGGGTTGGAAGGAAAGGTTCGTAGGCACCTTTTACTAATGTTTCCTTAGACACCTATAAGGGTCGAGGTTCTCCCGGAGTACGGAGGTAAATCTAGGCATATATGGTTAGTTGAGCTCAATGGAATCCCCGTTCAGAAACAACTAGGGGAAGACAGATAACAACAGGGAATGAAAACAAACCCTTGTAGATGCAGAAATGCCAACGACGATCCACAATTCCATTCTTACATCACTTGTGCAGGAGCAAGGAGGGGCGAAGGCTGCAGTTTAAGAAGGCTGACACTGGCCACTGTTGGCCCGGAGTTGTGTTGTAGCAGTGAGTATCTACTCCGTATAGGCTGTGTTGTTCTCCGCTGTTGGTGACGTTCAAGCACATTTGGCTGTTGACAAGAAGCTCAAGAGCTTTTTGGGTGGGCGGGATATAATACCGTATGGTTCTGTCACGGAACCTATCATGCCTATCTGGGCTAAGCGCAGAAACTTCGGCCGATCTTATCTTATCTCATCTCCGCATCTTTATTTAAGCCGCATCGGCAATCCACCGTCGGACAAAAGTTACTTTGCCAGGACAATCAATCGGTTCGTGGTTTGTTATATATGCCGTCTAGGTTTGCTCTGCTCCGATAGACAAATAGGCATATGTTTCAACCTTGAACTGCTTCTGCTATGCCGGACTCCTTTTTTACAAAAGCCGCCTCTCCTCCTGGTATCTCTCCCACCCCTTCAACAAGTAGTAATAGAAGCGGCAATAACAGGCCAAATGTCGACAAGAACAACTTCAAGCCTAATATCCCATCCTTTCAGCCAACACAACCAATCTCCCCACCGTCTGTAAATTCATCTCATGTCAACAAGTCGAGTAACGATGACTCTGCCTTTGAGCCAAAACCGTACCCTAAACCTCTAGAGACCGTTTATACCCCACATCCGAATGTCACTATTGAACCTGTCAGAACAGGGCATGTCCCATCATTAATGCGCATTACGGGTCTGTTGCTGCCAGTCCGCTATCCGAACTCATTTTACACTGCGACCATCACAGATCCCGTCGTCTCCTCTCTCTCTCGCGTGGCCATCTACCACGACCACCCAGCCACGGACGTGGCAGCAATCACGTTTTCCACGACTGCCAAGGCATCGCCACTACCAACCTCAGATAAAGTTATTGGAGGAATACGGTGTCGGTTAGAACCACAGCCTGTGACTGCTGATCCTTCTCCTACGGACCCCGAAGCGCAGTCTACGAATTTATATATACAAACCCTGCATCTCCTTTCTCCCTATCGTGGGAGAGGGATAGCTGCATCTCTTCTGGAGTCGTTAATATATGACCCTTCCGTCGCTCCTGGAATGTCGCCGCGATCGGTATCCCCCATTGTTAGGCATTATAATATCCGGACTGTCACGGCGCATGTCCACGAGACAAACGAGGAAGCGTTGGTCTGGTACGTCGCACGAGGTTTCGCAATTCAAGAAGGCGTCGTTGAGGGGTATTACAGACGTCTGAAACCGGGCGGGGCGAAGATCGTCAAGCTCGACTTGGCATGGGACGAGGAAGGGGCAACTAGTAAACGAGACCCGGTTGACGGCTCTGAAAGAATCAACGAAGGTGACGATGATTGGGAGAAGGTTAAGTTGGATGAAGAGGACAGCGCCACGACCGTCAGAGCCTTTTGAGGACTATGACACCCTCTAACTGGATGAATGTGTCAGAAAACGAGTGAAAAGCGCATGACTGCTGATTGATGAAGTACTTCAGGATCTAGCGAACGATGCTCTCCCAAATTTTGCACTGGAAAACAATTTTATAGAAGGGGGATACCGCTGGCATCCTCTTTTCCCGAATCTTGGGTATCTCTTTCGCATGGCGCATTTAAGTACTCAAGTTAAATACTACTCTGGTTGTGGAGGATTGCAGTCCTTCAATTCGGTTTTAAATTGGCTTCCCAGACCAGGTCGACCCAACCACGACGACATCAACTTGCTGTGAAGGCATCAATACAATGTACTGTATCTCCAGCCATGGGAGGTACCTCAAACTCTACCTATCCCTAGGAAAGATGTGCGGAAACAATCGCAAACCTCACAACCTCACACCCCCACAATGCAAATTTACCTTATCTCAATATATCCCTCCCTACGTTTACGGGATGTACAAGTTTGCGAAGACAGTCGAAACGGCAACTAATTCCGCCTCCCATCCATCACTCCACATTTATGTGACTGCTTGTCTGCTGAAAGAACTCTCCCCATTTCCTTTACGACAGGTTCTCTGCGATCTCCCACAAGAGGGAATGCGAATTTAACAAAGCCCCTATATCCAGGAACCAGTATAGAGGTGCCCGGTGTCACCAAAGCACCCGGATTGCTCGTGTTGCGCCTTGTGTGGCCACTGTAGATATACCCACGAAATGGATATGATATGTAGTATAGAGTTTTTGTGTATCTCGACGACTACATTTTCTACTCGGATGTTTCATTGATAAGCGTCATTTCTCCGTGAGACGTGCGGTTATACATACCTAGGTAGAGAATGCACATAAATATAGATCGGGACGATATTTTAATGCCCGCTAGTTTCCTTCTTTTTTTTCATCATTTCATGCATGTTGTTAGTTGCTCTTACAGTTATCAAATTTTTTATTATTATCTTCTACTACGCGCTATTGCAGAGCATAATATTTGCAACCAGCACCGCACTACTTTCCAACACCTATTTCTAGATTCTCCGCTAATAGGAGAAACAATGACGAAGTTCTCTTGTAGTAGATACTTACCTATCCGTCAACTGACCAGTCATCCAGTTGACCATAGGCTGGCTATGCTAAGGCTGGCTACAGGCTAGTCAAAGACCCGCATATATGCACGGTTCTATCGGCATAGAGCACAGAGTAGTAGAAGCAGTGAGCAATGTTATATTTTACGTATCATTGAGTAAGGGTATCACGTTAAAGGAAGTATGTAGATATGTTAAGATAATACCAGGAAGTTTTGTATATGCAACAAACTCGAGAAACAAGGGGTACTGATAGGGTTCAGTTGGATACATGCCAAAGGAATAACCCCACCCATGCAAAGAAGATAAATAACAGGAAATATGTATAAGGATAAGAAAAAATACGAATAAACCCCTTGTCTTAGATCTGTAGAAAATGCCAGAGAAAAAATATATGTGCTGGGTATTCTCACCGCGTTCGCCAGCAGGAGGTAGATAGATTTTATGTGAGAATAAAAGACCCTCGCATCATATCGCATAATTTTCCGTATGCAAATACAATTCATCCCTCCCCGAATTCCTTATAACCTCTCCCTGCAACTGCGCAACTGTACTTGCCACATCAATCCGCATACTCGGCGGTCCGCAAACAAACACACAAGTTCGGCGCCCAAAGTCCTTAGAAAACTGTCGTAGCATGTAAGGTATATCGGGCCTGCCATACTCCGTGCGCCAGCCGTCGCGTTTCTGCGTCGGGAGGAAAGCGAAGCGCATTAGGTTCTTTTGGAAGAGGGTGGGTGTGGAGGGAAAGCCGAAGTCGAAGTTGCGGGAGTCTTGTTGGTCATATGTGTTTTGTGGGAAGTGGTGGGGTTGATGTGGCTGGCTAAAGTAATCTATTGAATCTTCTTGAGGAAAGGGAAAGGCGGAGACGGGGGGCCGGGGATGTTGGTGGATGTGTGCCAGTGGGAGGGCGGTGATACCGTCTTCGTTTTCGCGGCGGAGTTCCTTTTCACGTTCCTGGTCACCACCAGCTTCCTCGCGAATGAAGGCGGAATTGCGTTTGCTGGCGACTCCTTGGAAGACGTCGTTGATGCGATCGTGGAGAACGGTGCTGTGTGGTCGAGAGCGTGTCCTGATGGTGCCATCATGGCGTTTGGCGGCGGTGAGGTAGAATTGGCAGAAGATGGAGCCTGGAGGAGCGTATTCGCGGCATATTCGTAATTCCTCCTTGAACCATTCCATGGTCTCTGGGCGCTTGAGAGCCCATACAACACGCACTTTTCTCGTGAGGGCTTTGCCATCTCGCATTCGTTTTATCAGGTCAAGGAGTTGGCTTGCAATGGCAGTGATGCCACTCCCTCCCGCGAAGAATATCACATCATCGAATGAGGCTATCACCCGTCTCATACCTCCGTAAGGCCCATCGATAAATGCACGGTAGGTTTTATATGGACCCTTTTCAAGAGCCGTGTCCAGAACCTTGGCTGTAAAGCCACTAAACGGTCGGAAAACGAGTGTCATATCTCGGAAATTTTCACCATATTCGGATGGGAAGTCGTCACTGCATAAAGATGCGACGGTGAAAGGATGGTTCTCAAAGAAAGAAATCCCCGGCATGCGTAGGTAGACGTATTGTCCTGGCCTCCATTTCTTCTGCGTGGGGATGGTAACTTTGATTGCATTTTCAGGAAGGATGGTGATGGCAGATTCTTCTCCGATGAGCCAGGATAGGCGAAACGGATTGGTCCAATTCAGGAAGAACAGCCTAACGATATAAGAGAGGAGCCAGACGGCCACTGTAGCGAATAGATAATGCCATGAGGTCAGGACATTTCTGCAGTGCCAAAAAAGCATACCTGTAAAAACAATGGAAACTGGTACGTGTAGCAAAACGAAGAGCTCATATAGCTGGTTGCGGAGCACCGGTAAGGAGTGAACACAAAGGAAACAAAGCGGCACGAATGCTGCCAGTCCAGTGCCATATATATACATGTTCCCCCTGCGAAGCTGCTCATATAGAGACAGCGCGTTGTCCCCCCAGACAGGGGTTATGTAGAATGGAATCATATGGACGAGGCTTAGAAAGAGACAGAGATACCCGGCCCATCTATGGAGAACGTTAAGTCTTTCATGACCTATGCCGGTTATCAGAGAGATAAAATTTGCCTTTGAGCTTAACGCGATGATCCACGGCATCAAAGCAACGGCCAGCATTCCGGCGCGAATAGCCAGAGGAGGAGATCCGGATCGTATGCTAGAGTAGAAAAGCGGCTGGGGGAGAAAGCAGTATAGAGTGACAAATATCAGAGCCAGCAGAACGAGAACGGTGGCTCCCATCGATGGCGGAACGATCTCCAGTTTCCATATCCTGATCACAGGTATTGGTCTATAGACTATCCACCTAACGAGCGCCAGTAAATTGTTTATAAACCGTATATTTGATATTGAGGACTCTTGCCTGGCTGTTGACGGAAGGGGTCCATCTGCAGGAAAAAAATTGCGCGTGGAGGTTGCAGTGCCGGGGCTTGTCATTTCGAAAGGTGATTCCGGATAAAAGTTTTTGGTGTTGAGTACATACTCCTTGTAGAGACCCGTTCTTATCTTGTCGCACCAAACGTGGTAAAGGTGAAGTAGGGACGTGAAGACGAGCAGAATGATTGCAAAATACACCCAGCCAAGGGCATATTTGCCTGATTTCTTAAATGGATCCCTTCTGCTGTCCTCTATTTGTTGAATGGTGCTGGTACTGTCGAGAATTATATCTATGCGTTTCGCTAGTGAAACAAATGGGGCTACCAGTTCTCTTGAAAATATGTCTTCCGCGTCTCTGAATCTGTTGAGTGGTGACATGATGTGTCGACTGGGACGAAGCTTTCCACTTTCTAAAAGCGAACCTGGTAGGAATCGCCTATCCCAGAACCAGTTGGAATAACCATGAAGAATATGCTAAGTGCCTCCCAACCCTGAAGAGCCAGCCCTCTTGCCCAGTCCGTTTTAAGCTCTGCAATGTTATTCCGTCTATTCGACCAGCTTTCCTTCAATGACGAAGAACGATTATCATCAAGTCCCGTGGTCCGTTTGCGGTGCGTTTATGCACTGCTGGAATTGAAGAAGTAAGTCGAGCCACTTGCGTAGAATATTCGCAAAGATAGCTAGCCAAAATCTCTTTGTGCAATCAGATATGAAAGTTATCGGCAGTGTGCATGCTGAAATGCAGCAAGGTAGGGGCAGAGGAGAGGAGTAATCAGTGTCGACAACAGGATTCAGGCTGGAGGATTCCAAAAGCTGCGATTCAGAAGAACTATCAATTTCGGTCCTTGCAGCGGAGCCTAATTCACTTGTGGTGTGGAACCAACGCTTGTTATCTTCACTGTATCACAGACGGGTATAACTCGAGCAACGGACTTCCACAACGCTGGTACAACTCAGTTGGAGCCAATGTCTTAAAGACAGAAGTGAACGCACAAAAACCACGGACCTTGTGTCGCAAAAGTCCCAAAGAAACAGATCTCGAAAAAAAACGAAAGGAGTGAATGTAGATGTTGAGCGAAACTGCCAGCGTGGTCGATATCCCGTTGACTGTCAACCGGCGTGCAGAATTATTCTCGGAATTTTGTGTGGCAGATGGAACATATATGCTGGTCCCTAGGGCGGTCACTAAACTAACACTTAAGATCAAAGTGGTACACAAGGTAGCTGGCTGCCTTTTCTCGAAAAAGGGTGTCTATTCAGAATTCAAGTTGGAATTAAGATCGCTTGCGTTAGGACTTGTCTGGAAGGAAGATAAGAAGGTCTTAAAGATGTGATGAGCGTAGAAGTTCAGTGACAGGAGAAAGTCAAATGTCGCAATTGTTTGACAGTGAACGAGACCGCATAAAATGTGGAAATATGATAGGGACTTTCCTATTGCTGGTCTAAATTATCTGCTTGTGTATCCACTGGCGGCTGTTTGAGCATCTACGGTTGGCGCTCGCTTTGAGAGTTGTTGTACACACCGGCAATAGAATGCCGATTCTGAAGATTCAGGACTCGAAACCGTTCCACACACGCTTTTTGAAATACCGCCACAGCAAGAGGAGGATGGAGCGGGGTTCCATGAGGAGGATAGCTCTCATTGGAAAAGGGACCCTGGACTTTTCGGGACGGGGATGGCCCTATAGCGAATCAGAAACGGGAATGAAGATTCACACTGTGACGACCAAGGATGGCGTCCTTGGAGCATCCGATACTCCTCCGTACATCCATAACTCTCCCGAAGCCTAAGTGAACCGTACCAATTTCCTCTCGATATCCCCAGGATTTTCCAGTTCACTAAGCCAATCATAAAGTTTCCTCCGGTCAATCCTCACTAGTGATTGTTCGGTTCATAATCTGCCACAACTGGTAACGATCAACTGATTCTTTCGATCTCCAAGAGGCTCATTCCTCAATATCCAAGCAGGTTTTTTGACTTCCTTCGTAATTTCTAAACGTGTTATCTTCGTGACATCTTCAAAACAATTCGGCTACCCGCCTGTTTGCCAAGACTCACCGAAGGCCACCTGCGAGTGGAGGGCCCATCTCCATTTGTTGTATTGGCTGCAGTTGTGCCTGCTTCTGCAGAGCCGTGAAGGATACAGGGCAATTGCACGCTGTTACGCCTTCATTGGTACTCTCAGGGAGAGCCACAGCTAAGCCAACGGGTAACGGTGTCAGAGAACGTTACAGGCTGTTCATGCTCTGCGGACTCAGACCAACCGCCAACCATCAACCACACCGCGAACAGAGAGCAAAGCGAATCCTCTCAACGCTAAGAAGAGATCGCCCCGCGAATCAGAGATATCAGAAAGAAGAGCTGCGACTCTGCGAGGTAAGGGAACGAGTCGCATGGCATTGTTTACCGCCCCGGCTGCCAAGCCGCCCAGTAGTCTTTGTTACAGAAACCCGAGTGTTTCCTCCCCCAAGACCCTGGATCTTGAGTCCCTTGACCACCCTGGGGCCGTTGTTGGCGGATAAGAACATCCCTGACTGACGATGGCATTGGAGGTTGATCCGCCGGCTGACGTGCTCTGTGCTGCATTAGTGCCCAGAAAGCGTGGAGTCAGACGTGATGACTCTGATGAGGTCGCAGGCTTCCCCAGCCAATCAGAGGGCGTATGACCGGTTATCGAGGAGGCTACACCGACAGATCAGGGCTAGCGGGTACTCCTCCTTCACCGACTTCAACTTTCTGCCACTGCCGCCCAGCACATCAGGGATTTGTTAGTTCTGCTCGACTCCTACATGGAGATAGTTAATGTTGCTCTCTTCTGGATTGAACGACTGTCATGATCTCAGAACATTCTGCTTTATTTCGTCATACATTAAGGAGCAATCTTACAGAAGGGGCAGCAGAAGCCCTGGAAGCCCTTCTTGGCATTGCTCATCCTCCATTCTTGAGTTTCGTGTGGGTACGCGTAGGTCTGAAAGGCTTCTTCATGAGAAAGGCTTCATCGATGAGCTGATCCCCTCGGTCTGTTTCCTGCCGGGATTCGTCGATTTCTGTTGAAGGCCGGCCCAGCACGGGAGACCAATCTAGCACGATGGACATACACACCATCGCTGCCATATTGGAAACGGCGTAGCGCCAAACCATATGCTCCGGGCACATCGTCCAGGGGTCGCTATACCATCCCACTTGGATGGTCGATATCTGGAGCTACCACCTTAGTATTTGTCATAAAAGAATTAAAACTAAGCGCACATTCATATTTCAAATGCAATCGTCAAACTGTCATCCAATATGTTGGATATCACGATATCATCTACGGATGCATTGATGAGTTTGATGATGAAATAATGAACCGAACAATTTCTCTAGCAGCACCAATGGATTGCGGGAATTGCCAGTATTATTACCAAAGCCTCCCTTGCGGTCGACATTGTAACACTACACAACGTGGAAGCTGTTGGAAAGCTCATCATTAGCCTCTCGTTACGTTTTATACCAGATTGTCGTCACGGGTCCAAAGAGTAATATATAACACCCACTGCTCCTACATTTCCGAACCGTGATCCCCCATCTATGGCAGTTTTAGCGCTCGCGATCTCTAACAATGTTCCTTTCAAGAAAGCTGGATTTTACCAAAACATTTGGTGTGGTTGCAGCACTGGGTGAGCTCGTCACTTTGCGCTTAACGGAGCATGACGCTTTCTGGGTGATCCCAGGCATGGTCAATAACCTGGATGGTTGGAGCCATATTTGTTGAGGATCCCCTTCTTCCTTTCTTTTTCTTCGGTTCACCGTAGAGAGGTACTTTAGCTGGGGTGTTGATATCTTTTGGCTGCATTGCTCCAATGTTTTCTGAATTGATATGTAGAGGATGATATGTCACAGGGGCAATACCCTTTTAAAGAAAAATGAATATGAAGAACTGCCGTTGAAGGGTCTTGTAGAATGATATGAATGCAGCCTAAAGGCAGGACCTTTCTACTTGCGCATGAAAAAAGACCGTCTTCTCCTTCATGGGAATTGCGGCTCCATACCGGGGCTCCATATCAATAATATATGAAGGATGTGGCCGGGTTGAGATCACCGTCCCTTGACTTTATTCAATAGCTTGACCATTATTGTGGAGTTATGAATCGCCGCCAAATTTCAAAATGGAACCACAAGGTTATGGTTACATTTACGTTTGAGAGTGTGACGAAAGATGAGCACCAGTAACAAGAACCTTTGTGGAATCGATTCTAGCCCAATAGATGCTGAGCGGCAGATTGTAGTTAATGCTCTTGAGGGCATCACTCTACTGGTAAAGCGCCAGGGAAGAGATCCCTCTGTTTATTTCGTCGTGGTATATCGATGAAGACTGCGGCAAGCCCAAGTTGATTTCGCTGTGTTGCAAACAAATCAAACCCGCCAGCAAATCATGTGATAGCTAATTCAACTCACCGCCTTTGACCAAATATTCTGCCGCGTCAATGTCGGTATCGCATAAAAGAGTGTTCACCGTCAAATGAGAAACTTCATGCATTGATGGGCTGTTAATATCTCTCAAGCACATTCGAAGCCGTTATTCAAGCGCTACCATTTTGCAGGCTACCCACAACCCAAGACCAATGGCGCCTGCACCTATAACTGCCACCTCAAGCCTGAACTCAGATTCATCCAAATCACTTCAAGGGCCTCCTCCATCCCTTTCGCTCCCACCCTCCCAATTCGCCAGGCTACAACCGCATGCCTACCTCCTTGCGCATCTTTCACCCCCATCCCCAGACTCGCGACCCCCTCTGCGTGTAAATGGACGCTCGACATGTCAATTCCGCCCCGTATCCGTTAACACCGGCTCCCTAACCCATACCAATGCCAGCGCCGTAGTTCGCACTGGCGATACAGTCGTGGTATGCGGTGTACGCGGCGAAATTCTCTCAACAGATGACATAGCAGCATGGAACGTATCTTCATCGGATTCTACTTCCTCTAAACGGAGAAGAACGGGAGGCGCACCGGTGCACCAATACCAACAGCAAAAGCAACAGCAGCGCACCAATGAAGAAACAGAAGAGAGCGACGGCGACGACGACGACGACGACGACGACGACGACTCCGAAATACGTGACTTCAACCTCCTCGTCCCTAACCTCTCCCTCAGCACGGGTTGTGCCCCTGGCATCTCCCCCTCCGCCCCCCCCTCCGCACTCGCCCAATCACTCTCCCACAAGCTCCTCTGTCTCCTCCATTCAACCCGCCTGATCCGAGCCTCAGATTTGCGCATTCTTCACCACCAACCGGACCTCACAAGCATAGCAACAGCCAACACGTCAACTCCCACCCAGCCCCAACCGCAATCATACGAACCAGAACCAGAAACAAAAGCCTTCTGGACCCTATACATCGACGTCCTCATAATCTCGCACGCAGGCAACCTTTTCGATGCAGCGTGGGGCGCCGTCGTCGCTGCACTACACGACACGCGCCTACCAAAAGCGTGGTGGGATATGGATCGCGGTATGGTGCTGTGTTCCGACGATGTTGCTGAGGCGCGTCCGTTGAGGTTGCGCGGGTTACCCATTGCGAGCTCGTTTGCGGTGTTTGAGGCGGATGAGGCGGAGAGGTGGAAGATTCCGATGCCGGTTGGCGAGTCGGGGGTGGATATGGATTCGTTTTTGAAGAGGCCGGTGGGGGAGATGAGTGTGGGTGGTGAAGGGAGGCCGCGGAGGTGGATTCTTGCTGATCCAGATGCGTTTGAGGAGTCGTTGTGTGCGGAGAGGGTGTGTGTGGTTGTTGACAAGGGGCGGGATGGGGAGGTGAAGATTTGGAAGTTGGAGAAGAACGGGGGGTTGGCTGTGGGGAGGAGGGAGGTGAGAGAGCTTGCCGAATTGGCAACGGGTAAATGGGAGGAATGGAAAGGGTTGCTTGTGGGACGATGATTTTGATCACTTTAAAGGTGCAGGTTGGTGGCAGGTGGATAGATTTCCAATGTTTTGGTATATGGGAACATACTTTTCCTCTAACATTGCAGATATTATGCATTCATGGAATTCGACCGCATTATGTTCATATCCACGGCTGAAGGGTAACAATACGTAACAAGGCCAGAGGGATCCGATATATGCACTGAAGTTGGCGTCGATGTATATATCCGAAACCCTCGCCTTCTCTTTTCGTCACCCATGCCACGCCATATCAGAGATTCAATATAGAAGAGACACGTATCTTCCTTTTCTATTCATATATCTCTAGCCACGCGTTGATGAACATCTACAGCATAGAAAAAACAGAGTTATTCAACCCATATGGTTCGCCTCAATATCCCAATTGATTGCACAAACGCCCAAACCACCGAAATGCCAGAGATCTGATGCAAAACCAAGGCATAAATGTAAATCTAAAACTACAAAATCACAGTGCACAGCCTCAACTCGGAATTCTATTCCTATCACCTGCCCCCTCGGCCCTCCGCCTCTTCATTGCCGGCTCCTGGATATCAATTCCTCCCACAAGGAGGGGAGACGAAAGGGAAGATGAAGGTGTGCTGTCAGAATAGGAGCTGTGAACTTCTTCTTCATCATCCCCTTCCCCCCGTCTCGCAGCTGGATTATATTGGGACAGTTTCGTATCATACTTTTTCACTTTGTCTTTGTCGGAGGGCGTAATGGGGTTGGTGGAAGGATTAGTTATAGCTTTCGATTTTGGGATGGAAATGGAGAACGAGAATATGTCTCGAGATGTAGAGGTCTCGTGTGCAGATGGTTCCTTGAATTTGCCCTTGGGAGATTTAAAAGGATTCGTAGATGCCTTCGAGTCTTTACCAAAAAATACCTTGCGGAAAAGTCCCATTGCGGAAGGCGCATTTTCTTTCTCCTCCATTTTCTTCTCTTTATCTTTATCTGCTGTTATTTCTTCCTCTTCCTCTTGGATTGCATCGGAGAAATTCCACATCTCTTTGATATCCCCCTTCACGAACGCAGTTGTCCACAGGGATCCAAGGACACCTGGGACGAGATAGAGAAGGGCGGGTTGCGCGTGGCCGGAGATCTGCATCGCCAGAAGCGTGGCCAACATGCCCATCACGTACCCAATTAGGCTGGCGTAGAAATATGTCTTGGGGAAGGATTTGGCTTCGTTGAATGTGAGCTTTCCACCATCCATGCACTGCGAAGGATTTGTGACTGGTGAAGATGTGGAACCCGATGACCAGAAACGCTCACCCCAGCGACCGGTGGCATTGACGTATATAATTTTCCCGGGCTCGCTGTTGCTGACACCTCGGCCGTCTGCTCTGAGTGACAACATAGCGCCTTTGAGCTTGTAGTAAAGAAAAAGATCAAACCGGAGTGCTAAACCGATCACCATACCAGGTATCACGATATCGCCTAACCCCAGCATAGCCATATTCACCGAATCACGATCCTGCCCCGGTGATGGGGGCCGCGGGAATACCAGCTTGATGGGAATATCCAGGCTCTTGGCAACGGTAACCATCAGCGGCGTGAAGAATACGAAGTAGATATCATAAAAAAACAAAGCGCTCAAAACCAATGAGCCCGTCCAGAATGTCGTGGGCGACATGAATTGCATAGCACCGTAGGAAAAGCTGAAGCCTAGGAAGTTGGTAAGCCACCACGGCTTCTTGACGAAGGTAAAGTAGTATACGGCTACAAGACCAAGGATGCTCCCCACGATATCGAGAATCGTGAATCTGCTTTTGACCTCGACGACTCCGCGGATATAGGCGCGGAGTGTAGCTTTCCTATATACAATCCCTCGCACACTCCAGAGTGCCTCTAGAAATGAAGCGGGGAGGGGACTTTCCCCCAGAGAACCCGGCAGCGGAGATTTACGCTCCTCACGCACCTCTTCCAAAGGCAGCCCGTCATGTTCAACAGGCACGAAAGCCCTCTTGCACTGATTGGCTTTCCACGCCACGCCATCCGCAACGTAGCGGGAGGGGAAGATAAACGACCTCAGCACCGAAAGCCCATCTCCCATAAACGCAATGGCAAAAACAGTCCCAGCCTGTGAAAAATAAAAGCCTAGAATCTTATTGAGGATGGCCGGGTCATTGAGCCAGTTGATCAGGAGATATAGGCCACCCAGCGTCAAGCCGGCCATGACGGGGAACATGATGGCATCAGAAGGCTCAAGGCCTTCCATTTTTGTCAAGCTGGATTCGTCGTCTTCTTCGTCGCTATCTTCATTTTCATCGTCGGTCTCTAACTTGTTTTTGCGTGTGGTTGGTTTGGCCGCGGAGGATGGTCTTGTTAAGGATGCATGGGCACCTATGTAGATGGGGAAGAGAGCTGACACGAGCAGGTGACTATATGTAGGTATGAGAGGTTTGCACTTAGTAAACTCGAGCTGGACCTGCTCCAGCAGTTTGGCTAAAAGGCCTGGAGACTCCATATTGCGGAGCGCCTTGGACGGAGAGAGAGCGTCGCACAGTCGAAGTCGACTGAGGAGCTACGCAGAAAAGAAGAAGGATATAGTAGGGATAAAAATTTTCATTATTTGAGAGAGGATTGTTGATGTCGTCTCCAGAATCCCCTGTTGTTCATAAAGGAGTGTGAGGTGGGTGTTTGCGAACTTTCTCTAAGGTTCATTTGGTGCTTGGTTCAGGATCGGGAGCGCCAAGCGGAAGGCGGCTGTGCCTGAACTGCCATAGAGCCTCCATCAGCTCACTCCCTATGCAAACCTAACTTAAGTGGATCACCCAAATACCTAGACACCATCTCACAATGAACCACTAAATCATTCGATATGCCCATCAAATCAAAAAAGATCCAGCTTCCAATCAAGGAAGAAGGCTTCTTTTAATTAATCATGAGAGCTTAGTTATGAAACTAAGCAATTTTTAAGCATGCAAGCAGCTCCCAAGGTGTAGTTACGATGTTGCTCTCACGAGCCATTCCTATCAACTGCACAGTTGAACCACACACATGAATTCTCAACAAGAAAATCAAAAGCTGACCTCTACTGAAGAATTTCTTAGTTCAGTGAATAGTGTACATCAATAAGACAGGTTTATATCTCTAAATTGCAAGTATATAAGATATGATTATTCAAGCAGTAATTAGTAATTTTACGAGTAACTACTTATTATTTACAGCTTAGCAACAAGAAATAAAAAGCGAAGTTAAATGATTATATATCCGCATTCTTGAATAATACACTTTTGGAAAATGAAATAATTTATATGCAGCGCTCAATTAGCATGAAATATAATACATATAAGATGAATTGATAGATCTCATAATAAAGCTTATGTTGCGGACATGCTACTGAGTGCAGTCCTAACACTTCCTTGCTGTAAGAGACAAATTCATTAGGGAAGGAAAAGAAGGAGGAGTTCGTAAAGGTAAATTCGCAAGAATGAATACATAGTGTATGAATCGGGGTGGAAAAAAGATCGCCTAATTGATCATATAACTGATAAATAAATGTTTGAAGGACAGTTATATAAATTAGTATAATAGAGATTATGAAAATTAGCTCTACAAAAAAAAAAAAAAAAAAAAAAAAAAAAAAAAAAAAAAGAAGAAGAAGAAGAAGAAAATACAACATTTAGAGAGTAAGAATCTCGCAGTCTTGTAAAGTATATCATATTGATAAAATTCTTAAAAAAATTCAACATAAAAATCTATTGTCATATTAATGTTAATAGATTTTCAACGAAAATTTACACTGAAAAAAGTCGTGTTACAAAACTATAAAATTACTTATAGCCATCTAGATGATTAGTTGTATTCACAGTCAACTCTGTTCCGCAGTTCAATTCTCGGCTTATCAAAGCATGCTGAGCACGCCTCAAATAAATGTCACAATATCTCAAGTAGTTATAACAAAAATAAAAAATTGGCACCCGTTCAAGCTGGCTTGCAGCATGAGAATGACCTTCAACCTATATGTACATGGATTCAGACTGGACAGGTGCAGAAGCCCAGTAAAATCTTCGTCCAGCTTTATCATATTCATAAACGAAGCATCCAAAATCACATGGCGCTTCTCCAGCATCAAACCTCCACTGCAAAATCAACCACGGAAGCAGAATATCAGTTATAACGGAGGCGACATGTGAACTGGTCTGGCTGAATGATAAGTTGCAGGATGCTGGGTTAATAGGAGGCAAAGGGCTGATACGGACGGGAGCTCCATATCGACAATAAGGGGGGCAATTGACCTTATCAAAGCCTTAGAGCTCGTTATCATATCAATCTATCAACATCCTTCCATCCCAGCATGTGACCCTAACCCCACACTAGGTAGAGCCGATTGGCTAGACAGTTCCTACTTGATGAATGGACCGAATCCTTCCCAAGAGAGTTGGAGCCATTGATTACGTTAGCTAGTTATTGATAATCTGTGATTAGTCAGCGTGCAATCTCGCTTAACTATAACTAGTGTTTTTCCGCACCATTTCCCCCAACCACCCCCACCCCCCCAAGTAATGAAAGTCCCGTTGCCACGTTTTTGTTAGCTATCTAAGATCATCAATCAATAGCTTCATTGTTCAGTTCTTGAATTCTGAGAAAACCCTCCAACAACAATTTCTAATTGGTACGGCCAGTACATAACAGCACCAATGGTTGTAACCAACGTGATTCTCGAGACTTCGATGGTACTGCTAAATCTTACAAACTAGAGCTCTGTCTGTATATTATTGGAATAGGTTTGCTAACGCTTCTCAGGGCTCCATCACCGTCGAGCTCTACAACGACCATGCGCCCAAGGCACGTCTGCGCACCCCTCTCGCTTTGAGATCAATACCCCACTTTTACTCTATTTGCTAATTCTCACTTTTCATTCAATTTTAGACATGCAAGAACTTCGCATCCCTCGCCCAACGCGGCTACTACGACAACGTAATCTTCCACCGCATCATCTCAAATTTCATGATCCAAGGTGGAGATCCAACCGGCACTGGCAGGGGGGGAAGTTCGATCTACGGCGAGAAGTTTGAGGATGAAATCAGCTCGTCGCTGCAACATTCTGGCGCTGGGATCTTGAGCATGGCCAATAGCGGGCCCAATACCAATGGTAGTCAGTTTTTCATTACTCTTGCTCCGACACCTTGGCTGGATGGGAAGCATACGATATTTGGCAGGGTGAAGGATGGAATGGGAGTTGTGCAACGGATGGGGATGGTGAAAACGGGAGCGGGGGATAGGCCGGTTGATGACGTTAAGATCTTGAGTGCGAAGGTTGTGGAAGAAGGAGCGAAAGAGTGATGCTATAGCGGCATTGTGCGGCTTACCGTAAAAAGTGGCTGGTTTTATTTTATGTTCAATCAATTAAACCTTCTTTTTCTGCTGAAACATCTAGAAGAAGAGTTGAGATGCTGCTCTGCTGTGGGATTCAAAGCCATGCTTAGGAAGACATCCCTCCCGCCATGGGAAGGAGAGTTCCTATGCTCGAGCAATGATGAGGCGAGGATCCGTGCGGCAACAACATTATTACGTTTGTCTATGGAAAAAAAAAAAAAAAAAAATGTTCCTCTTTAAGTAAGTTCACGAGTAAAATAAGCAGGCAAAACTATCTTTGAATATAGAGAGTATGTGTCACCGCAAAACGAACCGCTTCCATCAGACTTGAGATTCCGGAGCAGCAGATACAGGGTGAATTATGTACTCTACACTCCATAACGGACACATCCAATGAAGGCGTATCCAAAAGCAAGTTCGCCAAAGCAGCAACAGAAGTGTGAAGCGGCCTGTCTGCGCAGGAGTGAGTTGAAGAAAAGAAAAAAGAATCTTGACAATTGATTGTTCTGAATTTGAGGCTTGGTTAAACGCCAAACCCTGCCCTCTATCATGTGACTCACTCTCTACTTTTCTACGGAATACGGAGTATATTTCTGCCTCTTTCTCCCTTCTTTTCCTTGCTTTCCCACATAAGAAAAAAAAAAAATTTTCTCAACATTAAGATATATCCAACATTTGGAATTGGCAGCACTGTATATTATCAGCTGCAATGGGCTTCTATTTTATCATGGATTGAGCAGTGTATCTGTAATGTCCGTACGATCATCATGGAAAAGCTTACTGATGTTGACTGGGATGTGCTGATCTCTGGTACTGGCCTGCCACAATCTCTTCTTGCACTGTAAGTGATAATCTGTTCTCTATATATGTGTTTTTCTTTCTTGACTGCTTCTTATGCTAATCTGCTTGATACTGCTGGATCAGAGCACTATCTCGTTCAGGCAAAAAAATTCTTCATGTTGACAAACATGGCTATTATGGGGGCTCTGAGGCAGCCTTCAGCCTTCACGAGGCCGAAGACTGGGTGAAAAAGATCAACGAGGGTGAGATACAGCGTTAACAGTTAACCATGGCTCTAATGGCCAAAACAGGCCACGAGTTCTTGACTCATGGATGCTGATCAGGCCCTGCTGACCAGCTCCGGGCTCTATTCCTTTTGAGGCCGCCTCAATTTTCTCCACTCCACCAGCGGGGGACAACGGCAAATTATCACCTTCAAGGGCATATACACTGTCACTGTCTCCGCAACTTATATACTCCCGTTCGAGGCTAATTCAATATCTTGTTTCGTCGAGAATATACCAACAATTGGATTTCCTGGCCGTGGGGAGTTTGTGGGTGTTCAGGGCCGCATCCGATCCAGCAGGATCTGTGTCTTTGGATCGAGTCCCTGGAAGTCGAGAAGATGTCTTCGCTGATGACAGCATGTCGAACAAGTCGAAACGAACGCTGATGAAGTTTTTAAGACATCTTGCCCAACCACTTCAGGCAGACGGGACAAATGAAGGGGACAGCACCCTTGACAATAACCTGGATATTCCTTTCTCACAATACCTTGTGTCAAAGTTCCAGGTGCCTTTGGAGCTACATGACCCGCTAATTTCTTTATCCCTGTCTCCTCGTTCGCCAGATGACACAAGCAGCAGCTATGCTCTTCGCAATATAAAAAGACATTTGGGATCAATTGGCGTTTTTGGCGCTGGTTTCGGTGCTCTTCTTGCCAAGTGGGGTGGTGGCGCAGAGATGTCACAGGTAGGAAATCGCGCCTGTGCGGTTGGCGGTGGTGTGTACGTTTTGAATAGGGGCGTAAAGCATGTGGAAATGCCGGCCACCGGTCAAAGAGACGGTGATGATCCACTGCTGCGTGTTCAGCTCTCAGATGGAGAGACTGTCAGCAGCAAGTTTGTTGTGGGATCGCCATGGGACTTACCAGCTGAATCCGAAGCAGCAATTGCCTCTTGCGCCAGGGTTGCCCGCGCCATTATGATCGTGTCGTCTCCGCTGGAGAGTCTCTTCCCACCTACGTCAGAAGGCGGACCCATCCCAGCTGGAGCTGTTGTGTTTGTCCCTGGAACAGCGGCTCGCAAGGGTCAACCCCCTGTCTACTTAAGCGTACACTCCAGCGATACAGGGGAATGTCCGATCGGCCAATGTAAATATCACCCTTTCTCCCCTGCTACATCACATAAATCCAGCACCAATACCCTGGCCATATGCTCTCACATGATGATTACACCTTTAAACGAATACTTATCTACATTGTCTGCAACAATATTGATGATAAAATTTCCTCTGACAGCCTGAAGAGAGCTACCCCAATTGGTCTCTTTGTATTATTTACAACCCATCATTACATAATTAATGATTAAGTATGCTAACATACCTGCAAGGTGTAATCTACGGCAGCACCCTCTTAACAGGTGACGATGATGATGGTGATGGGCAACCCCTTATCCAATCCGCCACAACAAACCTCGTTACCTCCATAGATGCGAATGCAAGAATCCTCTGGAGTCTTCGATACACGCAACTAGGTACCATCAACGAGCCATCATCATCTTCCTCTGCTACAGAAACACCCTCCGTTTCGAGTAGTCTATCAGATCGGGTATTCTCCTTTGCACCGCCTAGTCTAGACCTGGCGTTCGATGACGGATTGATCGACCAAGTACGATCGGTCTGGGAAACAATTACGAATGGGGATGTGGAGAGGGGGGAGTTTTTGCAATTTGAAGATCGCGAGGGGGTAGGGGAGGATTGGGATGGGAGTGCAGAAGGTGTTTTGAGTTGATGTATATATATATATATTCATACCCTCATTGAGATGATTGTGTATTGGGGGTGACATAACCATCAGATTTGGGGTTATATTCTGTTCCCGGATATTACCTGTAGTCATCAAGTGAGTTTTAGCTATAAGTCGAGCTTTCTTGATATTGTCCAGTTTTGAATAAGCATCCCGTTCCCTTCCTGTCTCTCGCAAACAGCCTACAGAATTAACTAAAACTACTAGAGCTTGAAAACTCAGTCAGCTTATTGAGAAAACAACTGAGAATTTTAAATTCAAAGACCAAAAGCGAAGATCTCTCATCTACTCCGTACAGCAAATGTAATATAGCTGAATATAATAACTACCTACTAGACAGTGCTTATATAATTACCATATATAATCCCTTGCGGTTGTTGCTTAATTGTCAACTAGAATGATGAGGGTTGATCAAAGAGGCGGTTTGATGCAGAAAGTTGTCTATGCTGCGGGAAGGGAGGAGGAACATAGCTGTATAACGTGACCGGCCACTCTTAACGATCCGCGATTTCTCCACCAAATCCCTTCCACCTTTTTCAAATCCGCTCGAGCCATGGTTAGCGAACGTTCGATTCAACTCGCAATAAGATTTAAGAGCTCAAACAATCAAAAATTTATACGGTGGCTGCCAAAAAATAATTCAATCAACAAGGATACGCTGCGCCGGCGTTATAAAGGTGTCCCAAATGTTGGATATACTAACATATTTCCCAAAGTCTATTTTCAGATCCCGTTAATATTCTTAATCTAATTTAAGTTTATTTGGTGGTTTGTGGAGATATTCGATTTTGTATCCAGGGCAGGGGATTTTATTGCGCAGATCGTTGAGAGGCCCGATCGTTTGAGTGGCCGGTCACGGTATACTTATCTACATAACCAAGTGTATATCCTATATAATTTATGTTTCAAACACGTTTCAAAAAGGCATTCTACAGTCCGAAGTTGAAACATGCTCAAATATAATAATAAAATAAACCATTGCGAGCAAATTGAACGGATAATAGAGCCAGAATCTGATTTCACTAGTATCGATATACTTTTTAACGGGTCCATAACTTCGCGTACACCATCCACCCACCTCCACCCACTTGTCACTCCAATAAAACCTCTCATCTTTAAAAGATCCCTCTTAAGGCTTTTCCAACTTGTTCTGTCCCCTCCATCAATGCCGACTAAGAAAGGCTGAACCAGACTGACGCATGCCATTCTGACAGTCGCCATCACGACTCCTGAAAAACCACCTCTTGTTGCAACAGCCAGGTCGCAGGACGCAACAGATTGTCTTGGGATGCATCTCTGCATGGCGCATCCGACAATATTCCGTATGCCGCGAATCACAGCTAGTTAAAGAGACAGCTTTTGATGAGACGAGATCGAACCCACCTTTTTTTTTTTTTTTTTTTTTTTTTTTGATTATTTACTATGGGCCGGATGGCCACAACCATTTATGTACCTAGGCAATTAGCCATCTATCTAACAGCAAACCAGGATGGGTTTTCGCCGCTGGAGGTGGAGCAGGTCCACCCAGACCCTGCATAAGTCATGGCATCAAAAGATTAAAAAACAATGCTGGGAGCAAAAGATGGAGGTCACAGAAGAAAAGAAAGATGATCTGATGAATAAGTTGGGATGCCATCTGGCGTTGTCTGAATATGGACGTGCGGCTGTCATAACTTAACTCTCGGGGATGATGGCATCTAATATATATATAGAGTAAGAAGAAGTAGAAGGAGAAGGAGAAGAAGGAGAAGGAGAAGAAGAAGAAGAAGAAGAAGAAGAAGAAGAAGAAGAAGAAATAAGGAAGCAAAGTATCCACCATCCAACACGGGTCTGTTTGACCGATTTTGCGACATTTCTTCGTGTTTCTCAGACGTTTTTTATCATCATCCTTATCTATCTCCTGTTTTCTTGGTTGAAGCACCGCGTGGTTATACAGATCCCGTTCTTCGACGTAGACTCAGTAAGCTCAGTAGATATCCAATGCAAGTGTTGCCGTGCGGTATGCCTCGTCTCGACTCGACGCGACTCGCCTCTCCGGCAATGTATATACATACCTAGGTTCTAACATACCAACACGCTTTTGTGTTGAACATCTGTCATCTTCGACATTTCTACTCTTCGTCTTCGTCTTCAACTTCCCCTTCCTGTTCCTTTTCTCTGCGTGTGCATTACATCTTCCTTCGATGTTGCCTCTCGTTTCTACCTCTCTCTGTCTTTCCCTAAATATACACCCCAGTGACTCTGCCCCCTATAATCACTAGGGGAAATAGCCAAAAGATACCCCTACACTCTTCTCGTCTACTTCCATACTCACAATGATCAACGGGCTCTCAGGAGATACCTGTTGACTTCGACATCAAAGGCTTACGCCGGTCCTGAAAAAAACCAGCGCGGTTGCTCTCATATTCACTCCAATGTTGTATGTCAGACCCAAGTTGTTGGCTTCCGTCGCCGCCATCTTCACCATCGCCCTGTTCCTCTGGAGTCTCAACCACTATGATGACGCTGCCCTGAATTGCTTCACTAAGCCTGGCCATCGTCTCTCCTCTGGGCTTTGTTCATCTTTTCCATCCTTCTCATCCTCCTCATCCTCCTCATCTCCCCCCTCCCCCCTGCCAGCCTCATCACCATCACATCATGGAACTCCTCAACCAAAACTCGAATTGGGACAGCCAAACCAGCTCTGCGATACATCAGGCATAGTAACAACCCATCCCCTATCCTTCCCAGAATGGCTAATCGCAAAGAACTACACACGCACCTATCTGCGGGCCCACCGCCTTGCCCCCGAAACACAATTCAAATCCCTAGAAACCATCCACGGCCGGGTTCTGCAGCCTTTCCGCCCCATGAACCGTGGGATGACAGGAGATCAATCCTCCAACGAGAAATCCCAACCCTGCCCACCCGTAGTGGACATCGATGTAGCCGCTGACCACGACCCATCCCAGACATCCAAAATCCTCTTCGGCCTCGCAACAACCACAGACCGTCTACGCCACTTCCTCCCTTCCTTGCTATACTCCTACGGTTCCACGCAAGCTAGCCTCCTCGTCCTCGTCCCCTCCGACACCGAAAACCTGCGCGAGCACGAAGCCTTCTTCCGAAATGCCGGGCTAGACATCACCCTCCAAACAAGCCCCCTGGAATTCACAGACCGCTACTTCTCTCTTGTCAACGCCTTCATATCACACATCGAAACCCACCGGCCCGACACAACCTGGGTCAGCTGGGTGGATGACGACACCTTCTTCCTCTCCCTCCCCTCCCTAGCCACAAATTTATCCACCCTCAACGCTTCAAAACCCATCTACCTTGGCTCCCTCTCGGAAGCAAGTACGCAGGTCGATACATGGGGCCACATGGGCTTCGGGGGCGCGGGGGTCTTCGTTTCCATTCCCCTACTCGAACAACTGTACGATGTGTATGAGATGTGCGTGCAATGGGGTTCCCAGCCCGGTGACCAGAAGCTGGCGCAGTGCATTGAGACATTCAGTCATACAAATTTGACGACGTGGGATTCGCTATATCAGGTGGATCTACGGGGCGTTGTGGACGGGCTCTTCGAGTCTGGGAGGAGAATTGACAGCCTGCACCATTGGGACAGTTGGTACACAAAGGATGTTGTTAAGATGAGCACTGTTGCCGTTGTCGCAGGGAGGCGGTCTGTACTGCGCCGATGGCGGTTCGACGAAGGTATCATCCTCGACGAGGAAACGAGGACAATATCGAAAATCTTCTGGGTCTTGACGAATGGCTACTCGCTTGTGAAATACACTATAACGGACCCGAAGCTATTCGCCACCGATGCGGTGGATTTCGATAAGATCGAGAAGACATGGGATGAGGAGCATGGGTTTGAGAGGAGGCTTGGGCCGCTGAGGCCGAAGGAGCAGGCAGGCGTGAGGAAGGAGAGGTGGTTGTTGGAGGATGCGATTGTTATTGGGGGGGATGTGTATCAGAGTTATGTGAGGAACGGGGAAGAGGAAAATGCTAGAGAAGGGCATAGCGTTATTGAGTTAGTGTGGTTGGGGTCAAAGATGTGAGACAGGCTCTGGTGGTTGCGGTGGCACACCTTTTTTTTTTTTTTTTTTTCCCTCTTTTTAATAGATTTGACTAAAAATAAATAAACTAGTTAATATACACTAAGAATGACTGACAGAATAATTTTCTAAGATGGAAATCCACGATTAATAAGTAAAAATAAAAGATAACTACTCAGCTGTCAGCAGAGTATGAGATCATGCTGGTCTGAAGATGAGTTGAAATGTTAGAGCATCGACACTCCATTCATAGCTAGTTACAGAGTTAGTTAATATAAAAGCCAAAAATAAAAATAAAAATAAAAAATAAAAATAAAAAATAAAAAATGAAAAAAAAAAAATAAATAAAAAAAGAAATGAAACGAAAAAGGGAGAGGAATGCTGAAGGCACTTGGCAAATTGGCTTCTAGGAAATTAGCACAAATCCATCCTCCTCAGCTATCAAGATGGCGGGGGTGAGACGGGATGCAATTGTACCCGGTGGTCCAGTGTCGACACGCACAGCTGAGTAGTTAAGGGGGACCTGTGGGAGTCAGTTAGTTACCCAACAGACATTGAACAGGTGTGTCAGTTTAAATGGTGGCTGCTACATTTCGAGATTATTTTTGAAGAATTGTCCATATCTACAAATAACTAACAATACTAGTTGGAAGGAAGGGTTGTGATGATCAGTTATTGGGTCGTTTCGTTACAACTTCACCTAAGAAGTCATTTTTAACGTAGTTAATTCCACCACTTGAAACCGCGGACACTATCGAACCGCGGGTTCTCTTTGAAAAAATCATCAAATATTCAACTCAACCATCTTCAACACATCATTTCTTTGTGTTTTTAATTCACAATGTCTCTATCTCAAGAATCTCACATACAGTTGACTATTGCTGCATATAAATTGAAAAACAATTCAATCAAAAATAAAAGCTGCAAAGATATATGAGATTTCTAAAACTACTCTCTGTGAACAATTTGTTGGCATCAAATCACACTTGGAAAATATAAATGATCATAAATTGATAGAGATTGAAGAAAATATTTTTCTCATGCAATTGCTGAATTCAGATAAGTGAGGCTTTTTAATCTGAATAAAATTTCTATATGATATGACACAGATTCTACTTTAAATATACACTTTTGATTCTATTATTACTCTCAGAGTCAACTGAGTATCTAGATTTGTTAAACATTATTTTCAACTATATACACATTATAATTATCATATATTCTACTAACAGATGAAATAAAAGAATCAAAAAATTATAAAACAGTGATTAGAGATGATATAAAATTATTTAAAAATATAAAATTAATAAAATGATATTTTTAACTTTAATAAAACTAACTTTACAATAAAACTCTATCATTTTTAAAAGTTTTTATTGTAGCTAAATGTAGTAAGAGATCACATATAATTATTCAAAGAAATTATAATTAAATCATAATTATTGAATATATAAAGTCAAAAAGTATTTTATTTTATTAATGATAATTCTAAAAGAGAGAAACATCAAGTATCTTGATATCAAGAATCAGCTCTTTTTTAATAATGAAGAGTGCTATAAGTACAAGTAAGTGAATTTTAATGTAATAAATATATTCTGACTTGAACATTTTAAATTATATTATAAATGCTATTCAGTAAGTATAAAATAACTATTTATTCTTAATGATCATAATAATTATTTGATTGTCAGAATTTAAAAATTTTATAATGATAATATAATTTTCTATTTTTACATATTTGTTCATATCTTTTATCTTCTTTAATCACTGAATATTGATGTTTTTATGTCACTAAAGTATATATATGAAAAGCTGATTGAAGTAATAATGATTGCAGAAAACAAACATATAATAAAGATAATTTTTTATCTTTTTATTTATCTGCATCTTTACCAAAGGAAATATTTATAATGGCTTTGCTGAAGTAGAGCTTAAATCATTAAATATAGAGAATATTCTATAAAATATTATCTTTTCACTATATATATCAATATCACTGCTATCATCTACAGCACAGATGACAATGAATACAAATCTTCTTCTTCAAGAAATCAAGATTCTACAAGCAGAGAATGAGTGATAGATGAAGAAAAAGACATGAAGACATGCTAATCTAGGTCAGACTACTCTTCTATCTATACAGGAATATCATAGGCGTGTTCAGCAGCTTGATATGCAGGTTTAAACTCAGATATCTCGCCAGCGAGCTCCACCATGCTATAGTGACTGTGTGACTTTTGAACATACTCTATGCAGTTGCTCTAATAAACAGCTATATACTCAACTATTAGATAATCTTAATTTATTAATATTTTCAATGTTTAAGCGTTGTTGGTTGTTGAATACATTGAATATTTGATGATTTTCAGAGAGAATCCGCCGCTCGGTGGTTGGATTACATTAGTTACCACGGTGATGCATAATTAAAAGCTAGTAAGTAGTAGGGCTCAGCGGGTGACTGCGGGTGGCTTTGGGTGGCTGTGGGTGGCTGTGGATGCGTTAGGCTTGGGCCTAGGGGCGCTAGGCCTCTCTCGGGGAATGAATGGTATGGCCGGGACGCAGCAAGCGGAGTCTAGCTTCCAAAGTTCCAACTGCTCAACATCGCTCCAATCCCCAACCCCTCACACACCTTCCCAAGGGGCCCTGCCCCCCAACCAGAAAAAAGGCCGGGAGTACAAGACGGAAATCATAAGAGATGTCCACTCTTGATCCCGCCTTGAAATCTTGGGCTCTTCCCCGTCTCTCCGCCCTCCTCCAGCTCGACCATGACTCCCTCACTCAGCTGCTGGAATACACATGCTCACTCGACCATGATCAGGGCGCGGAGCATCTACGGAATATCCTGGGCGACTCAGCGAAGGCGCTGGAGTTTATTGTTGGGTTTGGGGAGAGGTGGAGGAAGAAGAAGAAGGAGGAGGAGAAGAAGAAGAAGAGTGGGGCTGGTGCTGGAGAAGGAGGAAATGGCGGTGGTGCTGGGAAAATGAGAAAACCACCGCCATCAGCTGCCGGCCCGCTGATATCAGAGTTTATGCCTAATGTGCGCTCGAAGCCTGCAAAGGCCTCATCTGCCGCAAAAAGGCAACAGCAGCAACATCTAGCAACATCATCCCCTTCACGAAACCGCAGTCGTAAATCTCTTTCCGGCTCCGGTTCCGCTACCTCCACAAGCACAGATAACATCGCCGATCTATCTGCCGCCATCGCCCAACTGGAACTCACCACAAATCCTACCCTATCCTCGTCCTCCAACTCCATCCCTTCGAAACCTCGAAAATGCAACTGTCTCGCCACGCTACACCCTCTCTTTACCCCAGCTCCTAACTGCTTAAACTGCGGCAAGATCATCTGCTCCCTGGAGGGGCTTCAGCCTTGCTCCTTCTGCCAGCAACCGCTGCTAACGCCCGAACAGGTGCAGGGGATGATTCGCGAGTTGAGAGCGGAGAGGGGCAGTGAGAAGATGCGCGCGCATAATCGGGGCTATCAGAGGCATGGGGGAGGGAATGAGGAACTGCTGTTGCCATCATCTGCAGATGGAAATGGAAATGCAGATGGAGTCGTATCAGATTTAGACGCAGCAAAAGCCCACCGCGACAAACTACTACAATTCCAAGCGCAAAACGCACGCCGGACAAAGGTTGTGGATGAGGTTGCAGAGTTTGAGACGCCGGATGTCCACGGGCAGAGTGCGTTGTGGATGACGCCGGGACAGAGGGCGTTGGCGTTGAAGAGGCAGCAGAAGGTGTTGAGGGAGATGGAGGAGAAGGGGAAGGAGGAGTGGGAGAGGCAGGGTGGGAGGATTGTGGTTTCGTTGAGTTTAGAGGGAAAAGGGAGCGGGATGGGGTTAATTAGGAGAGTGGAGAGATGGGAGGAGGCGGAGAAAGAGGTGGAGGGACAAGGGGTTGGAGATATAGAGGGGGATGCGGATGAGGAGATGGAGGTAGGTGGAGCTGGAGAGGAGATGAAGGGTGCTTTTGGGAATAATCCGCTGCTTGCTGGTGGGGGTTTGGTGAGGCCTATTTGGAAGCCGAAGGGGAAGGGAACGGCTGACGGGAATGGAGATGGGAATGCGGATGAGGGCGGGGTAGGGAGAAGGGGAAGGGAGCAGAGGCAGATGTGGAGAAGGGTGCAGGACGATGAGGGGGATAATGAGAGGTGGATTCTGGATGGGAACATGTATGGGTATGGGAATGGGAGCAGGGATGGGTCTATGGAGGTTGAAGGGGACGGAACGGATTGTGGTTGATTTTATTTAAGTACTCTACATTTTTTTTTTCTTTTTCTTTCATTTCTTTCTCTTTCTGTGGAATTACGACGGATAGATGGATGTGGAGTATGGTCCTCTCTACGTTGGATTTTAAAAACGCATATTTTGATACGGATGGATGAGATTTGTAAACTGGCCCAGCATGCCATTCGCATTCATCATTCCTTGCATGAGCACACACAAAGCATCAATTGGACTTGGGATTTTGGTAATTAGGAATACTAAATCATCTGGAGGCTAATTTTTTTTATAATTGGAAACATAGGTAAACTGGATATGTGCTCGTCGGCTATTTTGCCTATCCCGACTTTCGGTCCTTTGCGGTTCCTTGCAACAATCCACTACCCCTCTTTGCCATCCTTCAAGTCCAATTCCCCAGATTATTTGCCCTCCAATTTTACTCTTATTTCTTATATTGAGTGATATATCGCTAGCATTGATATCTAGACAGTGTCCGTTCCTCTTGCTATCTCAGATCTGGGCAGTTTATCCTAGAGATTATTTACCCGTCAAGTTACCCGTCAACGTCATCCATCCATCAAACTTGGCCCGGACGTGAGGAGAAGAAAAAAGGGAAGATAGAAGAACAAGAAGGGCAATCCGGAAAGAAAAGAAAAGAAGGGAAAAGATCGCCTTTATGAACTGTATTTTCTTGGATTCTATCAATATCCCATCTTCAGAATTTATTTTGTTCTCTCCATCCTACTTCATCATTTTTGTTAGGTAGAGACTTGGAGTTGTTGCACCGAAAAGACCCTTCGTCCACAGTGAGATCAAGATACTACGCCTCAATCCATACAACCAACGAGATATTCATATCATTATATACTTATTCTACACGTTAAAATAATTTTGCATTTACATTCGCAGCCATGTCCTCGTCCTCTTCCTCCTCCTCGGTCCTCGATGAAGCCCGCCGCATCGCCGCCCAGTTCGAGTATTCGGCGGAAGAGCTCAACCGCGGCGTCAGAGAGTTCATCCGGGAGATGCACGAGGGGCTGGAGGAGGAGGGTGCTACACTGCGTCAGATTCCGACATATGTAACTGCCGTGCCAGAGGGTACGGAGAAGGTAGGGTTTCTTTCTCCATTCTCTTTCGTCTAACCTCAGCTACACATGGGCTAACAGTTTTTTAATCTAACTGCGTATAGGGCGTCTACCTAGCCGTAGACCTAGGTGGAACCAACTTTCGCGTCTGCTCCGTAAATCTCCACGGAGACTCGACCTTCTCCATCTGCCAATCCAAAGTCCCCATCCCAAGCACTCTCATGACCACAAAGAATAGCGCAGACCTCTTCTCCTTCCTCGCTCTCCAAATCGAAAACTTCCTCGCAACCCACCAATCCGAACACTTCGATTTACACATCAAGAAACGACAAACCGGTCAAATTACAGCCCCTTACACAGACGACCATATCTTCAATCTGGGCTTCACGTTCAGTTTCCCCGTCGACCAACACGGGATTAACAGCGGCACTCTCATACGCTGGACGAAGGGGTTCGATATAAAAGAAGCTGTAGGGAAGGATGTCTGCAAGTTGCTGCAGGATGCCATAGATGAGCGCAAGCTGCCCGTCCGCGTTGCGGCACTGGTCAACGATACCGTCGGCACGCTCATGGCGCGCTCGTATAGCTCCCCTGGCCCATCGAAGGCGCTCATAGGCGCTATCTTCGGCACGGGCACGAATGGCGCCTACGTCGAGAAGCTGGCGCGGGTAACCAAGCTGGACAAGAAGAATGGTGACAGCGCTGCTGCTAAATATGACAGGGCAACTGGTGAGATGGTTATTAATGTTGAGTGGGGTAGCTTTGATAACCATCTCAGCGTCCTGCCGACTACGATCTTCGATAGCGACCTGGACAACGACAGCGTCAACCCAGGTATTCAGATGTTCGAAAAGCGCATATCGGGCATGTTCCTAGGCGAGATCCTGCGACGCGCTCTGCTGTCCATGGTCAAGGATCCGGCTGTGAAGCTCTTCAGCAACGATTCCGCTGCTAGGCAAAACGGATTAGTGACAATCATCCCGGCCGATTCAGGCCTTCACAAGCAATGGGGCATAGACACCAGCTTCCTCAGCACAGTGGAAGCGGACGATTCACCGGCCTTCGATGCCACACGCAGCCAAGTGAGGCAGGAATTCGGCATCGAAAACGCAAGTACAGACGACTGTCACGCCGTGAAGATTCTGGTGCACGCCATTGGCAAGCGGGCGGCGCGGTTAAGTGCCCTTGCGCTTGGCGCGGTGATTATCTCCACAGGTAGACTGAGGGGGGAGGGGGAGGTGGAGAAGGGTGACGGGGTGGTGGATATTGGGGTTGATGGGAGTGTTGTTGAGCATTACCCAGGGTTTGAGGGGTATTTGAGAGAGGCATTTAGGGAGATTGAGGGGATTGGGGAGAATGGGGAGGCTAGAATTACGATTGGTGTTGCGAAGGATGGGAGTGGCGTCGGGGCGGCGCTTGGGGCGCTTGTGGCGGGGAGGACGGGTGGCAGGGAATAGTTTTTTTTCCCTCCTTGATACGTTTTTGTTTATTTAGACAGTTACAAGGAGATATCTATCTATTACTAACTTGTCGTAGTAGGTATTCTCCCGTATATATACAATGCCTGGTTTGAAAGCCACACAGTTACACACACTATCATCAATCTCTTTACGTTAAATACTTTCCCTACAATAATTTGACAATAGCGTAACACAACAGTAACTTAACACTATAACTACCATTTCTTTGACGAAGAGAAATCATACATAGATACGACGGTATCTTCCGACCCACAAGAGGTACCTTGCCCGGTACTCACTTCTCTACTATAGCTATACCTATATATAGATATCTACCGCCTAGATCCTCCAACAATGGCTCCCCACCAAACCCAAACCTCAATAGACTTTTCGCGTTTCCCTCTCCTCGGAAATTGTTAAGGACTCAGCGTTCCCTTCTCTCTCAATCGGCCTAGGCCCGCCCAGACTATCCCCGGGTCGATCCGTTAAGTTGCTCTTGACCCAGGGTTGGGTTGGCAGCTTTGGGGTCCCTTGTCTACATGCTGGGCAGTGATGGCAGCACACAAAGAGGCAAAATTGAGAGACAAAATACAGTTCAACGATGAATATTCTAGTCCTTGATGACATGTTCTTCTCACTGCAGGTGGCTGGAAGTTCAATGTCGCAGTTATGAGGTTGATCTCGGTTTATCTCTCATCCCTCTGTGCCTTGAATTGTTTTATTATCTTTATCTTTTCTTTTTAATTTTTTATTATTTTACTTCTTTTTATCTATATATATTTTAATTCTTTTTAAGAAAAATACTGCTCTCTGGGAATGATCTACGTTTCGGAACCCTGGTCCAATCTATCCATCCCTCTGATCTCCTTCCTGGCCCGAACATAACGTACAGTGACTACACATCTACACCAATCCTCACATTCAGCAGGAAAGATTAACGACTCCTGCACCCGTCGCGATTATACGAGCCAGCCACCATCGTCCAAGTGAAAGCTTAGGAGACCGCATGCGCGTGCGCCTCGCAAGCTAGACGATACAGTTCTTGTTTTACAGATGGAAGAAATGTCCCATCAATCCCATGCGACACGGTGCGATATATTGCATCGTCCTCATTGTCAATATCAATACCAATATCAATATCAGACTCAACGTCAGCGCCAGCATCGATACCATCCACATCACCAGTATTCCACAAGAAACCAGTGCAAGGGTTACAACAGGAGCAGCGACAAGTAGACGACAAGAGGAGGGTCTCCGTGTGTGTCTGGAGCGTGGAGAGAGGGATGAAGATGGAAATCCCCGCAAGCCCGCCACCGCCAGGTGTGCATTCAAATTTCAGAAACCCCGTTTCGATTGGTGATCGGTCTATCGTGGTGAATGCGGTGTTTTTGCCGTTGGCGATTGTTACGGTGCTGGTACGGTTGTTGACGAGGGGAATATTTTTGCGATATATTGGGATTGATGATTGTGAGTTTCGTGTCTTTTTTCTCCCCGTAGAAGTTTGGAATTGGGATGGGACTGGGAGAAGAGCGGGGAGGAGGAGAGGGAGTTGTAAAGAGGAAAAGGAGGAAGAGGATTGATTGAGATTCGTTGTTCTATGCTGACTGTATTTTGTCGAATGGGATAGATGTTATGGTATTTGCACTGGTACGTGATTCACCATTGAGCGTGGAGTTGTGTTACCATTACCGCTTCATTCGTTGGTGCCTCTGGCTATGCGAATGATGTGGAAAGCGATAGCCGCACGTCTGTATCCTACGCCAGACAAGATAATTCGCATTGCTAATCTGAGAAACTCATCTCAAAAACCATAGCTCTTCGTTGTTGCTTTCGCCATCACGATGATACTTGGTATGTTATATCTCTTCCATCTTCCAGTCAAATCTCTATGCGGCGTATTGATATTATTCGATATTGGCTCTGCACATATAAGAATTCGGTTCTAATTGTTTAATGTAAAAAAAGCTGTCGACTACGGTTTAGGAAAACACATTTGGGACATCCCTCTATCTCGCTACATAATATATCTTCGGGTATTCTCAACCCCTAAACCCCTAGAACCCCGCCGCTCCCTCTCACCCAACTCTGGAGATCCAACTACAACCCAACAACTAACATGAATAACCACCCAGATCACCTTCGTCGAAAGCATCCTCTACATCTGCGGCACCGCCCTGATGAAAATTTCCATAATCCTCTTCTACCTCCGCATCTTCCCGCCCACACGTGTCCACATCGTCTGTAAAACACTTATATTCTTCATTCTCGGCTATAGCTTCGCCAGTTGTATTGTGGTGATATTCATGTGCCGGCCTGTTGAGAAGTTCTGGGATGTGCAGATCATGTACGGCAATTGTATAGATCGGGCGGCTTCTTATTATGTAAATGCGGCAATGTCGATTACGACGGATATGATGACGTTGGCTATTCCTATGTGAGTGAATAATGCCTCTTTTTATGTATTCATATCATTGATGAGATATTATTGCTGGTATCAAACTGTGGAAGACAAAGAAGACAAGGGATATGGCTAACAAGATGTGGAAAAACTTTTTCTTTTGCAGACCCCTTATTCATAGACTTACCATCTCCCTCCGGCAGAAAATAATAATCGCCTGTATTCTTGGGATGGGCTCATTGTGAGTTGCCACCACCCTTTCAGCTGAGAGAAATACCCCCTCTAACTAAACTAACCTTGCACCCACAGCGTCTTCATAGTCAGCATCGTCCGCGTCTTCTCTGTTCACCGCCTCTTCACACAACCTGACTCGACCTGTAAGTTTTCAATCATCCTTTCCCTTTTGACCCCATAGTCTCCTTTCTGTTAAAAAAATCTTCATGCTAAACAAATCAAAAACCCCGTTATCCAGGGAACGCAAACAGAGCCACAATCTTGTCCATTCTCGAAATCTATGTCGGCATCCTCCTCGGTTCAGCACCAACCCTCCGCCCTCTTTTCCTTCACTTCATCCACGGTCGACAGGGCTCCCCGCGCCGCAGATTATCCAGTTCCTCAGCAGCAAGCTCACAGAGATGGCTGCGGTGTTGGACAAATGTGCAGCGGCGGTTATCGTGTTCTACATCTAGTGGGAGTGGTGGAGCTGGAGCTGGGACGAGCAGGTGCGGGTCGCTGTTCAAAAATACTGTTCATGTACAAGCGAATCGCTTGGATGGTATGTTGCCCCCACGGGAACAGCCGCAGCAGCCGCCGTTGACGGTGGTGCAGGAGACTTATAGGGATATGAGGAGGGCGAGGGGGACGTTGGGGAGACATCTCCGGAATGGATTGAGTGGGTGTCTTAGGCAGGGAAGGAGGGGAGATGGGGTGGATGTTTCGCTTGAGCGGTACGTGGAGGAGGACGGTGGTAGTGGGGACGGGGAAGCCGATGGGCTTGCGGATGTTGAAGCTGGTGCTGGGGTGGGGAGGGAGAGAACGGGAGAAGACAGATATCCACTGGGGCTCTATATGATTGATGAAGAGATGGATGCGAGCGATTCTAATGCCACAGTTACTATTTCTGGAAGTCGGAGTCGGAGTCCGAACATGTGAGAGAGTGGCCGCCGCAACCTTGGCATTGGTAATGGTAATGGTCATGAAGCAGTGGTAAACAGAGCTGTTGCTGACAAGGATACATTGATTGATGATGATTGATGATGATACCACGCTTTGATTTGGATTGTGATATATTGTTGGCTTGTTTCATGTATGTAAATCCTCAATGTGTATATAGTGTTCAGTGGTTAATGGGTGTGGAAAAGTGGTTCAGATTTTGGTTAACCGTCTTCAGTAATTATAAAATATGTTGGGTACTGGTATTTTGATGAATGGAATTCAGGTAATAAGTCATATAAATAATATTTAGCCATTCCATTCATAACATCTGTGATCTCCTACAAATATCGTAAAAACACATTACTATACACTGACCATTTCCCCCTTTTTCTTTTCCTCACGGAGGCGGACAGAAACCAATATCACATGACCAGAACAGAATAATCACGTGATCCTTTATTAAACCGAACTCGCTCAACAACTCCGGACTACAAAACCTTGGAATATCTTGATTCCCGCCCGCAATTGATTTTAAACAAATATAAAGAGCCTGTTTGTTGTGCGGCAAACCAATTGGCGAAAATCTCTTTTCCCGTCCGCTGCTCCGGGCTAAGAGAAGACTAACGGGAACCCAGTTACCGTTGGACTCACGCAAATTCGCCAGACGAAGTGAACATCCCCATATCTGTTGCCAAATCAAAAAGCCGTTCGCAGTCCGGGAACTTTTAAGCAAAAGCTATACCTAGACACAGTTGAAGACATAAACTACAAGATGGGAGCCGGAGGATCAAAACCTGCCGCGGCGGGAACCGCGTCTAGACATATCTTTTCAAGGTGAGTCGGGATGGGGAGGGTTCGGCATGGTTGATTTCTAGTTGTTTCGGTTTCATACTGTAAGCAACGGATTGCTGTGGGGATCTGAAATTTTGAATATGACAGCGTCTCGGAGAGGGCGGTCAATCTGTGTGGAGGGGATTGGATTGAACCGGAGTTGAATTGCCTCTGCCATTCGACTGTCAAAATGTCCGGAAGGCGGATTTGGTACCTTATGCGGGAACAGAGGGACTGCAGTTGTTGGGGATGAAGAAGAGACTTCCCGTTATTGACATATGATTTGACGACGGGTCTTGCAGATTGAATTCTATTTCTTCAGTTCTATTGGTTTCAGATGAATTCTAGTTCAATTCATGCTTTTTGTTCATTTTCGATAGAAGAGAGGAGGGGACGCAAATGCTCACTAATCCTCTGGAACTGGTTAAATTTACAGTGACACCCCCGTGCAATTTTCACAAGCATTCGTTGAATCCCTGCAGGAGAGTCCAGAGGTATGTCTATACTCTATATCTATGTCTACTTCACCAAAATTTTTACTTCCCCCTCCATCCCAAAACGTCACCCGAACTCCAAAACCAGGGAAAATGTATTCAAGGCTAACAAACCCCATAGACCGACTCAACCCGTGCCCAAACACTAGAACTACATATCCAAAACCGCATTGCCGCAGAACTCGAGCGCATCCGTGCCCGCGAATCTCAAACCCTCGCCGACCTCGAAAAGCGCCTGGCAGAAGACTCCTCATCCCCCTCTACATCTCCCGCCTCCACAAATACAGACGGCACACCGATGCAGGAACTGAGCAGCGCGCGGGTGCGGCAGGAGATCTCATCATTGAGCGCCAAGTTGGCGGAGAGGCGCAAGGTGCGCGAACTGGATGAGGGGGTTGAGAAGGCGCGGGGGGATCTTGTGAGGTGTTTGAAGGACAATGAGAGGAGGCCGTTGGATTGCTGGAGGGAGGTTGAGGGGTTTAAGAGGGAGGTTGGGCGGTTGGAGAAGAAGTGGGTGGAGAGTGTTGTTGGGTAGATTGGTGGTTGATTTGGAGTGGGTGGGGGTGGCTTTTTGATGTGATGATGTGGTTGCACTCTGCTGCATCTATGAGAGATTGTTTGCACATTTGTTTCTATCATTGTATATGTATTGGTTCTTTTCCCATGTGCTATTTATGGGTGATAGAAAATGGAGATTTTTGAATGTGTTCACATCATGTCCTGTTAAATCCTATCTCTCCTGCTTAAAAATGATAATGCCTTCAATCTGCAATTTTGCAGTAACTGGTCATTTATGTATCAATTTGCATTCGCATCATATCAATAGCGACAAACACACAAAGTACCTTAACCCTATTGTCACACAACCTCCCAAACCCCCAACCTCCCCACCCTCTCCCCAGCAGACCGGACAATACACACCCTTGCCAATTTCTCCCTGGACATCCCTACCTTTATCCCCTTGGCACCCTTTCCAGATACCTGGGACCGCGACTCAGACAAAGAATCCAGCTCGTCAAGACCAGAAGCGCCGCAACCAACCACCCTACCCACCAACACCGAAGCAACACCAGTCCCCTTCCCAGCTGTCAAATTATAATTCCCCGTCGTGACGAAGCCAATTAAATCCTCCTCGCCCGGCATGGGCAAGTGAGCTGCTGGTTGCGGGTCAGCGGATAGATCTGTCGGGAGTAGTTTGCTGCTGGCTTGGAATATTTGGGCTTGTTTCTGCTTCTTGCTCTGGTGCTGGGCGCTGGGTGTGCGCGCTGAGGGGCTGAGGAGGGATAGCCATTCATTGCGTAGGAAAAGGTTGGTAGCTGGGAGGCGATAGATGCGTGCGCGGGGGGTTGGGATGCCGCGGCTGATGAGGGTGAGTTTTACTGTGGCAAGGGCAGGGTGGGTGAGGTGGAATTGGAAGGGGAAAGGGAGGTCAGCGGAGGGCTTTGGCCTTGACTTTGCGTTGAGGATTGTGGAGGCGGTGGAGGGGGGAAGGTGGTGGATGTGTAGCGGCGGCCGGGAGGGACGGGTAGATGTATACGTGGTGGTACTTGTTGATTTATTCTGCTGTTTCTTCTTCTTTTTAATTTCTGTTTGATCACCTTCAACAACCGCAGTTGCGGGTTCACCGGTCTTTGCAAAGCCTTCATCCTTTTCAAGGGGCTCAGATTGGACAAGTCGTTCCCAATCACAAGCCCAACCTAGTCCAATTTCACCCTTCTTCGGCCCACCGAGATCAATGCTGTCATATGCAATGCGCTTCTGCTTCGGTTTGCGCTCCCATTCTTTCCTTCGAATCTCCCTCACGCGCATTTCCCATGCCCATCCGGCATTTGTTCCTGGGTAGTCCCCAGGAAACCAAGGCTCAGAACACTCAAATGAAAGTTGCTGCTTTTCCAGCAGGCCGCCAAAGCGAGGATTCCCTCCTGAGGATATGGGGTAGTACATGATATAATACCACACGGGTACAACACATTTCCATGGTAGCATAACTATGTAAGTACCCTGGGAATTTCCACCGCTAGATAAAGATTTCGGGCGTGATGCCAGGATGAGAACTGGTATGCGAGGGTCTGTAGGTTTTGGGGAAGGATATTCACCTGGACTGGCTAGGGATTTCCGGCGGTTGATGGCCTTTTGGCTAGGCAGGAGGCGAGAGGCTGTTAACCGTGCGGGGCGAGAGAATAGGTCCGGTCTAAGTTGTGTCGAATCAGGCTTCCATGCAGATAAGAGAACTGCAAGGTCATTTGAACTGGCTTCAGAAGTCGGAAGTTTGATGGTTCGAGGAGGATGCTGTAGACGAGGATCGGAAATATTGAAAGCTAGCAGAGCATTTTGTGGTAGTGATGCTGCATTTGTGAGGCCTGCGAGGGAAATCCATGTTGATTCAGGGGAACCTTTTGGCCACTCTTTCCCATCAGACGTAGGTATAGGCTTTAGAGCACCAAGCAGAGCCTCAGTCGCACCAGGTCCCGTAATCTCAATACTACCAATATCAAACCTAAGATCCTCAACCATGACTTGCGGATGTTGTACCTTTGCCGCTTTCAATACCTCCTCCCACACCTGCAAGAATGCTGACGGATGGACCCTTAGAAACATCCTCCGTTTAGGCTTCTTTGCTTTCGCCCCTGCATCAGCCATCTCGACATCCTCATCCGTTTTCTCCGAGCACCAAATGAGCGTAACAGGCGCAATTGGCCTTTTCCCATCTCCCATCTCCTCCTCTCCTCCGGTCTCAAACAGCCATACCTCCAACACCCTCGTCCCGGCCCTCCACTTTTTCCCCTTATTCCCCCACGCCTCTTCCCCAACCACACCCAGCGCCGTAAACAGCCGTTCCAGACATATCTCCAAACCCTCCAATCCGATGGTGGAAATATAGCTCATATCCCACGCAACGGCACCTCTCGCCCCACTAGCCCTATGAGTAGGCCTATAACTCTTCTCCGTCGGACTCAAAGGCACCACAAACCGCCACAATGGATCCTTTGGGCTCGTCATGTGCGCCCTCTTCGCATGGAACACGTGGGTGGGCAACCAGGTCTTGCACCGCTGGCGCTTCTTGAATTTTGACTGCGGCTTTTCAGGATGAGAAAGCCTGTTTTTCTTAATTTTCGGCACGCGAGGCGCAATATTGACATCGTGTGTTGGTCTTTTTTGGGATCCTTTCCCTTCGTCCTCGGGAAGGGGAACTAGATCCAGCGTCGTAGCGTTTTTCGCAGCTCGTCTAGCCTTGGAGCGGGAGTTCAGGTTCTGTAAGCGCCTGGCAGTCTCTAACCGCAAACGTAGGAGCTGTGTAGGTTTGCGTCGTCGAGCCGTGACCGTTGGTGTATTATCCTCAATCATCTACGCCTCTCACGTAAAATTTAGCACATAATAACCTCAAAAAAGACACAAACCGCTTATAAATTTGAAAAAAAAAAAAAAAAAAAAAAAGACTCAGCAAAATGGAAAAGAAAACACCCTCACCTCCCTCCGCGCCCTCGCCCTCAACCGACTAGGAACCCTCTTCACATTGTGACTAGCTGTCCTCCTCCGCAGACTCCTAGGAACTTTCTGAAACGCCCTGGATGCCAGTGCAGACTTCGAATTGCGGATTCCGGCCTCCAGCGCACGAACCTCGAATTCCCGCGCCGCTACAAAGGCGGATACATCGAGCTCACCGGTCTTGGAGAGTGCGGCGTCGGAGCTCTGGACGGCGAGCTTGCGGGCATCGTAGGTTCGGGCGCGTTTGCGGTCTGCGGAGTCTGAGGAGGGGATGGTGCGCTTTTTTGCTTGAATAGAAGCGGTGGTACGGGCGGGTCCCATTGAGGAGGATGCGCGAGGAGGGGGTTGGGGGAGTGAGTGTTGATGATTACTTTGGAGGGGAGGGCCGTTTTGCGGGTTGTTGTGGTGTTTAATCTGAGATGGCATTGGTAAGTTTTCTTTGCTTGCGCCTTCGGTGGTGGCGTCTGGGTCTGTTGCATAAATCAATAAAATCAAGCCAATCCAAAAACAAGACGGGCGTGTGTTTACGAATTTTTAGAAGTGTTCTTTAAGGGATCTTTGTTGTGTCAACATTTTTCTAAACAGTAATTATCGAGATGAGTGCAGCAAATGCAGTGTTAGTTATAGGGTAGAATGTTATGGATATGTCTACATAGATATACAGGATTCATTTACTTCAGATAGATATGGAGCTCCAAGTCGAATCACAAAGCTCTGATCTCAATTGGCCAGGACAAGCAGTTAATTTGACTTCTATTATTAGACACTTGATTTTTGCGGCCTTGCTACAGTTTTGTTTGGTTTTTCGGGTTTTTTTTCATCTTAAATGAGCATGTCGGATATAACCATCCTGTCGAGCGCCGTCCATGACTGAGGTAACTCAAGTTTCCCACACTTCTCTCAATCTGTCGAAAAGCGAAAGAGTCCCGTAGTCTAATTTCTATAGCTTGGACAGTACAGTTTCGGCACTCGAAACCTACAGTTGTGATTATCCGTGTTAGCCTTATCTTCAAAAAGAAACCGTTGAAACATTGAAAAAGCGTTGCCAACGACCGGAAAAAAAAAAAAAAAAAAAAAAAAAAAAGGGGGGGGTGGGAACGTCTTACCGTAACTCCCTTCGCAGGCTCTTTCTCAGCATAGGTCACCGTACCGTGGTCAATGATGATAGCATATCGAGCAGTTCGCTCGCCCATAGTCCAGCCAATGCTCTTGGAGAACGCAGTGTCCGTATCGCTCAGGAAGAGCTATTTTTGACCATTCGAATCAGCATTGGTTCATTCCATCTATCTGGTTTCAGGGTATTTCAAACGGGAAGAAAACTCCGCAGCATCAAAGAAGGCAAACATACAATGTCATCTCCTTTGACATTATTGGCCTTCCCCCACGCGCTCATGACGAACGGGTCGTTATATGCAATGACAGCGACGATGTCGACACCGTTGGCCTTGAAGTTATTCAGGTGCTTGATGTATCCGGGAAGATGGCTGATGGAGCAGCTGGGTGTGAATGCGCCTATACATCAGGGAACGGAATTGATGATTTAGCACCAGACCGTCGAAATCAACCAACCCCAACCAATTGATATTTGGGATCTCAAATTTCAGATTTAACTGGCATATCTACCTGGAACAGAGAATAGAACCACTTTCTTATCTGCCCATTCCTTGGAAGCATCATATGGCTGCGGTAGGCCACAGGCGGTGATCTCTCCCTTCTCTTCGGTCCACGGAACGTATCTGTTGTTGATATTCATTAAATGTTAGGCACGGAGCTTCTCAGCCGTTAAGAAATAATGAGCATTGGCTTGAGGTTCTCACGAGAATTTGACATCGGCAGGGAAACTGTCCCCAGCCCTGAGAGGAGCCATTGCGAATCAGTTGATTCGAGTGAATTGTTCTGAATAACCGTCAGAGACTCAGTCATGCCCACGCCTCAGGAGCGTCTTCCCAAGATACTGCAGGGACTGCCTTACCCAAGCACGGCTGTATTCTTGACGGATTGCTGCCTAGGTAACTATTAGATACTTTACCCGGCAGACTCCGGAAATTCTTGTGAGCGGTTAGGAGATAAAAAAAAACAAAGGGTTTGAATGAAACAAATATGACTAACAAACAAATACTTTTCCACAGAGGTATTTATTGAACTAGTTAATATGCAGTGCGAACCGTGGTTAATCATCAGTTTATCAATTGAGCGGTGATATCACGACTTCGAGGCGGAATCTCCAGAAAGTACCCCCGCGCATATCTTTGTGTGAAGTGATACCTCGGGCGGATACAAAATATCGGCTTACTTTATGGATGAATCAACTACGTTTAACTAACTATTAGTTAACTAGTTTAACTAACTCGCTTTGTTTACTAACATAAACCAGCTAACTAAACACTCCACCCAACCCGCTTTGCCGTTTTACTATTTACTTCTTTATTATTTAATCCTCACCATTCATGAACCAACCGTCATAGCTTCGATATGCTTCTAGCAATAGCCAGGTTCCAGAGAAACCACATCGGCGTCTGCCCGTAACTAGTCATCGTAGAGTCCTAGATTGCGATGCCTGCTCGCGAGAGCGCACGTCTATGACGCGGGCAATGAGGGATCAATCAGCAGAGCTTCGAGATCCATGGACACACATGTTGTCCCACGACAGGAGCAATCAATCCCCCCACATCATGGTAGATTCGAGCAGCTTCTGTTTCTCTGCTCGAATCAGTGGTTGTGTTTTTGGAGAACACCTTCATTCCTCTCATCTACCTGAGGATAGTGGAGCTGATCACCATCGAAACCCTTGAGGGTACTATTTGGGAAATTGGAGAATTGCCCAACTGTATGTATAATAAGCACCTTATGAGCGACTACATAACCCCCATGCCTAACAAAAAGTATACTGCAAAGAGAATTTACCGTTTATAGCAGAAGCCGTTTCAATTGCCGAGCATCATAGGGCCTGCAGCACTTAACGTGCACAGTGAGGTACATAGATATATATCCCTCAAGGCGGCTGTGCCTCTGGGGTTCAGAAGTCCGACTCTGCCATGTGGCATCAAATACCTAGAGATGGCTCCTCTTTGATGGCTAGAAACCCGCAATTTAAGCGCAGAAAGCATGGGCTGCAAGTGTCTTTTTTCAAGACAATCAGTATTTGCCGCTGCTATTATTCTTGATTAATCCTATTGCTACTGATGCTAAATTTTTAACATCAATTTTCATTTTCTAGTGTCTCATGCAGAAATACAGCCGTTACAACTGCGCATAGCTGTAATGAATGTTCTGAGCTGGAGATCGCGTATAGGAAGCTTCCCTTATATATATCCTCATGTTATAAGAGTGGATGGTGGTTCCTTCAACGCCTCTTCTTCGGAAAAGGGTAGTAGTTAATCCTGCTGTTGAAATGAGCTGGGCAACTGTTCAATACGGTATCTATCTAATGATGTCATTTAATTCATGTGAGTCTCAAGGGGCTTTTGATCCAGGCGTATTTTGATGGTATTAAATACTTCCTTCTCGTAGGATCTCAAGGCGGCGGAATTCATTCGACATGACTGGTGGATGACGTGAGCTTGACTTGTTCGAGCTGTTATTTCCTAGAGGTGCCCATAACGTACGGTTAATCGCAGACTTTGCCATGCGAACAAGGTAACTATGGAGGGACTTTTTTAAGAACCTTGTGCTTTCTTCCTCGGGGCACATGGTGAAGAGTTTTGCTCCCATTGTATCTGGCGAGTTTAAGGGGAAATCTGGTCACTGTCTTCTAAGACGAAGGGGAGAAATCCATTCTTAGGCTGACTAGTTACCCTCGAGGTATTTAACTAGTTAACTAATAGCGGGGCACTCTGAATAAAGGGGTTGGCGTAGTAATTGGAAACCATAAATGTGAGCAAAGGCCCTGCCCACTGGAATTCGGCAACGGGGAAAAAAGAAAGAAAGAAAAGAAGAAGAAAGAAGAAAAGCCATGTGTATAAAAACACTGAGGGCTGTAGCTGTTCAAGCGGGGAAAAAGGAATCCAGAACGAAGCCACTGCGCAGTTAGCCAAGTTGCTTGTGTCAAGGATAGATTGCTTGATTGATTATGAGGCGATCGCTAGCTACGCGGAAGTTATATACAGTGCGGATTACGTAAGAAGGCGGATAGGCCTGACACCCCCACTCACCGATGTAACTGTACGCGAGATTACATACAAAAAATAGCCTGTAGCTAGGTATCAGTGCATAATTTGACTGGAAAACCCATATTGTTGAAAAATCAGTCATTTCCTCCATATAATCATTTCCGCCTGCTTACCGCGTCTTCTAATATCTGCCGCCATAGAGCATATCTAGTCACCTCAAGTGGCTTGGTCAGCCTGTCTGCCACATTCTCAGCAGACAGGACATAATCAATCAAGATCTCATTCTTGCAGATGAGATCCTGAAGAGTATGGAAGTGAACCTCTATATGCTTAGAACAGCATGGAATAGTCTCACTTTTGACCAGTTTAATCACTGATTTATTATCTGCCTGAATTGTATACATCAGCTTATTGACTGATGATTCAATCAAGCCATCATTATCATCAAGATTATTGAGCTGAGACAGCATGAAGCTGGCATCCTCCAGCAATTCCCAGAGGCAGACAAGCTCATAGGCAGTCTCTGAGGATGTGATATATTTGGCCTTGATAGATGATTTTAAAATGTCTGTCTGCTTGCTGCTTTGCCAAGCAACAGAACCCCCTGTCATATAAATGACATATCTGATGATGAAGTAGGAACCCAGATCACAGTCTGCTCAATCAGCATCAGCAAATGCCACAGATTCTATATTCACATCTTTTCAGTAGGACACATCTATGTCAGGCATACCTTGTAGATATCTAAGAATTCACTTGAATGCTGCTCAATTCTTTGAGATAGAGTGAGAGCTGAATCTTCCTAGAAAGTCAGCAGCAAAGCTTATATCAGAGTGTATGTTGGCAGCAAGATATTGCAGAGAGTCAACCTCTGATTGATAGAAACATAATATAAATTCCACTGTATAAGCAATTGATTCTTCATTATCACTCATGAAATCAACATTCTCCTTCATAGGGGAAGATGTTGAGTGGCAGTCATTCATTGAGAATTCCTCAAGCAGGTTCTTTATGAACAGTGGCTGGGACAGCAATAATGATTCAGTATCTCAATCAATCTTCATACTCAAATATCAGTTCAAATTGCCTACATTCTTGATCTCATAATTAGCAGTGATCTGGGCTTTTGTCCACTCAATATTCAATATATTTGAGCTGTATAGGTGAACATCATTCATGTAGATGATTATATAGACCTTGTAGATGTCATTTATGAAAAAACCAGTATCATAAGAACTGATGTGGAAGTCTGTTTTCAATAGCATTTTTCACAGCTTCTCATATTATAATAGTGCTGCTTGCTTCAGATCATATAGTCTCTGCATCAATTTGCATATCAGATCATCACATTTCTCACAGAACCTGGCAGATTAATGCATATATATATGTTCATTGATGGGAAGCTGAGCATTTAAGAATGCTGTAACTATGTCAATCTGCAGAATGTGCCATTCTCAGAATACTGAGATTGTCATAAGTGCTCAGGAGATGAAAGCTGATATAACTGGCATGAATATCTTTGAGTAGTTGACATTCTTTTCTTGATAATTGCTGCAGACTATTCAGTGAATCTTATATCAATCAATTCTACCTGTATTATTAATCTTTTTGTCAAACACTCATTGACCATGTAGAATCATCATATCTGAGGTTCTTTCAACTAGCCACCATGCACCAATCTACTTGAGACAGTTAATCTCCTTAATACAGACATGAAAGTAATATTTCCAATCTGCAGATGCCTGAGCCCAAGTGAGATTCTTCAGAACTAGCAAGCTGACAATCTCAGAGTCTGCAAGGACATCAGTTGAATTGTCAGTGAAATCTCTCACTGAGATCTTTCTCACTGAAGTAATATTCTCAGTAAGCATTGAAGAATTCTTCATCTCTAAAGTAGATTCTGAGAGAGCAGTAGTGTTCTGCATTAAAAATGTTGAAATTCACACAATAATCTCATAGTCTATCTATCAATTATTTATAGAGTGTAGAAATACTGAAGGGGCAGGTAGAGACTCCTCATCCACCATGAAATCATCTGTTGATAAATCATGTTGAGTGAAGAGAATTGCAATCACAGTCACACAGACAGTGAAAGACAAGTTCTTGACATCTTGCTCAGACAGAGCCAAAGAATTTGTCAAATGAAGATCTTCTTGAAATATCATGTCTTTTGATGTGTAAAGGTGACTGTTAGAAGAATCAACTAATCTATAATTAGTAAAATCATCATAGTCTGTAAATATAAGCTTCTGCAATCACAAAGTCATCTTCATATTTGACTTGAGCACTATTTTTAAATAAGCCTTGTACCCCCATCAGTGAATTTCATATGTGGAGGGCAGGGCCCTGAGCCAAGCTTCATATGAGATAATTGACTTTGGATCTGAATCCTCTACACCATTATAGAGCTTGGCTGATGTTGACATAAGATTAAGCATTTCAGTCACTGCAATTATCATCTCACCTCATATTTGAGGGAGGAGCAGATGAATCTATTAATAACATTTGAGTTTTTTTAATAATCAGGTCAATAGAATGTTCAGACACACCATCTTGCTGCAGAGTATGAGGCGGAGTTAGTTCTCATTTAATACCCTTACTCATCATATAGGCAGCTGCTGTGTTTGAATTCAACTCACTATGATCAGAGTGAATAATCATGACACTATGATTGAGCAGATTCTTCATAAATTGGTTAAAGATCTATATATATTTTAGAGTCTCATTGTGGCACTTCAATAGAAAGGTCTACTGCATTCATGTGGTATTGTCAGTGATCATTATTGTAAGCTTCTTACTCACATAGAATGATGTATCTTCTTCATTATCAAGCATTTCTCTACCTTCAAATAGGTCCACCCAGATCTTAAAATCTTTGTGAGTGGCATGGTGTAGGGGAGCATTTTTATAACTTGCACATTTATGCTTGACTTTAACACATATGGTGCAGAATGAGAGCTTCTTTGAGCTGATGATAACAATTTCAAAACAGGGCTCTCATGACATTTTAATTAGATTCTCCTCATCAATATGGCTCAATCATCAGTGCCACTCATCAATCAGTAGCTGCTTCAGCATAATGACAGGTAGTTGAGTTGATGAGAACAAAATGAAGATATCAGTATCTGAATCCTTCAGGTTAATTAGCTGCTCCACATCATCACAGTTGAAAAGACTCAGTGATGCAGCATTCAGATCATAATCTGTTGATATTATCCTGGGCTTTGAGACTGTCAAGTATGTCAGTGATCCAAGCTCCAGATCATTCATAATACCTCTGAACATAGAAGAGATGTCAGATAGAACATATATATTATTGAAATTCAAATTCATGTAGAAGATGTCATTTTCTGTAGATGCTATTATCTCAAAGTAATTTCCAGCATTCACCTGCAGATCACAGTGAATATAGCTCTGGTGCTTCAATAGACCAGCAGATATGAGATTGGCAGATAAGTCTAGCATCAAATAGATGTGATCAAATTTGATTAATCTTTCCCTGACTGGAATAGAGGTGACTCTGATTCCTTGAATCTTCAAGATAGTCTTATTGACCACTTGAATTGTAGAGCTGCTAATCTCTGTTATTTGAGAAAATCATGATCAATCACACACAATATGACATCCAGCCTTACTATCTCATATGGTGAGTGGGTTGGTGATTGGTTCAGCAGAGTATACATGCACCTCAATGATCTGCACTAGATTTGTCATTTGAAACATCTCAGAGCTGTTATTTGCAGTTGATGAGATCTTCTTGCCCTCACTACTCTTCTTATTGTTATATTTCTCTATTCTCACTGTGTTGGCAGTCCTTCATTCTTCAGGGGTGCTATTCAGATTGGCTGCCCAGCAGAGTCCACCATGATGATGCTCACATTTCAGACAGATTGAAAGGTCAGACTTTGAATGTCCACCTATTTGATAGCCTCTGCATCCCCTAGATCAGCCTCTATGAGCTGAATTATTTTGAACATTGCTGCTATTATTGAAATCTGCAGCTGCATTTTCAGTCTGAGTCACATTGGCTGAAAAATTAGCTGTCTGAGTGGGCTTCTTGACCTCTTTGAGGGAATTCAATTGAGAGTGTATTTCCTCCATGATTGAATGAACATTCAACATGACAGACTTTGATTTGAACTCTTGTACCTCCTCAATTTTCTTTTGCATGTAGTTTCATTATATATTGAGAAGTGCAGAATAAAACATATGAAATATCATGTCATTTGACAGTAAGATATTGAGTATTTCCAATTTCATAGTAATGTCATTGAACTTATTGAAAAATGTGTGTATGTCAGTGACTTGAACACCACTCATTGATGTAAATACCAGGACTGCTTTCCTGCAGAGCTATGTTCTTGAAATGAAGAACTCCTTCTCAACTACATGTCAAAGAGAATAAGTGATTCTGCTCTCATCATACTTATTAAAATGAGGCCTAAAGCTGGCTGCCAACATGTTCAAAATGAATATATAAAGTCAGCAATTTTTGATCTCTCAAAAAGAAGCTCATTTGAGATTCTCATCAGAGCTTTTGACTTGCTTGTTCTTCAATATAATCCAGCATTGAGCATCAATTAGCTTGGCCTTCATATTCATATGCCAGGAGAGATAATTTGAAGATCTGACCAGAGCATTCAGCTTGATGGCATATTTAGTATTCTGTTTGAACTGGCTGATCACCTTGCCAATGCAGCTATCTGAGTCATAGAGGTTATATTGCATTCAGAACCTCAAGTTCAGATCTCATGCTGATGATCAACTCATCAGTGAATTTGTGAGCATTGTGACTTTGTCATTCTGAGTGTGAAGCTCCTTCAATTGAAGTTGAAGCTGCAATTCTTTGCATCTCTCTTTTTGAAGTTCTAAATCAATCTTTTGATGTTCAAGATTCAATCTTCTCAGTTGAAATTCTTTAGAGTCAGTTGCTGACAGCAGGTTAGAGATCACTGCAGATATCTTCACCCTGTCTTCTGAAGGAGTTGAATTGGCATATTCAACATGATGTAGATAGACTAGCCTCACTGTGATAGAGACTATGATCAGCCCAGCTTGCTGACTGAGTGTTTCAAAGGGTTCAATCCTGGAACTCTTGAACACTCCTGAGGGGGTCAGTGAGCTCAGGGCCCCCTGATCATTTTCAGATCAGTCAGATTGACTGGATTGACTCAATCATGACTGAGTGAGTTATCATATGTTCTGCCATGTCATATTAATCTTCTTTATAACAGAGTAATCTTATTCAGTGAGATTCTTGTCTATAAGCTTGATTGAGCAGATTGACATGTTCTTGTGTGATCAGTCACTGAAAAATTAGCAAGTTGTAGATTTTTCTTTCACCTGCTAAGTGAACAGATTGAACACAGAAAAAAATAATAATAATATAAGAGTGTGTCAAATCAATCAATTGACATAAAATAAGACAATATTATATTGAATGAAGTGAGCAGCAATTAATATACACTATATTTGGCAAGAATTCCCTGAATTGGCAGTTATTTGCGCAAAACAGGTCTCATAACCTGTCAAGGATAGATTGCTTGATTGATTATGAGGTGATCGCTAGCTACGCGGAAGTTATATACGGTGCGGATTACGTAAGAAGGCGGATAGGCCTGACAGCTTGCTTGTGCTGTGCAGTTAAAGCCGGTAACTAACTAGACACCGGTTTCATGGCTAACTAGTTACTTGCCGAACCACCGGAAGCAACCCCGTGCCAAACCACCTTGCGATCTCGATCGCTAAACAACATGGGGCAGACAACGTTTGGTCCCTCTTTGCCCTTTCTCTAGGCAAGGTTTAAAAAGTCGGGGAAAGACTGTGCTTGCATTTGTGTTTATGTTTGCATTTTGCTGAGAGGCTATGGCGGATCCGGCGAAACAAACCGTTGTGGTCATTGGGTTCGTCGGCTCGGTTCCAAGTGTATCTGTCTATCCTTCGTAGTTAAATAACTAGCTGCTTAACGGATATACTAACTCCCTTACTCGCTGTACAAATAGAGCCGGAGTCATAGGGGTCTCCTCAGCATTGACACTTCTCGAGACCCTCCCGCGCCAAAAATATCACATCATATTGGTTTCCGAATTCTTTTCTACGGACGGATTGAATCCGTCATACCCCAGCACTCTTGCCGGGGCTCACTATCGCCCTATCCCAGCCACGACACCACGGCTGAAATACGAAGCCAAGCTAGGAAGGACTACCTACAACCGCTTCAAGAAGCTGGCTGCGGACCACCCAGAGTTTGGGGTGAAGTTTATGGAGGGCATCGATTACGTGTCTGGCGAAGCAGTCCCGTCCTACAAGGCCCTGTTGCCCGACTATACCAATGTCGATGGATTCCGCATCCTGAAGCCCAATGAAATGCCGGAAGGTGTAGAATTTGGAGCTAGGTACGAGAGTTATTCGCTCGATCCTGAAGTATACATGGTGCATCTCCTGCGGCGGTTTAAACTCGCTGGAGGTGAGGTGAGACGGATGCACCTGAACGCTGTTGAAGAGGCATTTGAAATAAGTGGCGGCGAAGGGGTTCGGATGGTGGTTAACTGCACTGGAGTTGGGATCAACGATCCGAAATCTTTTATCATCAAGGGTGTGTGTCTTGACTCGGGCAACCAAATACGACCTTGGATTTACCCCGCCCTAATTCTATCAGCTAGAAAAACCCGGTTGATCCTGAGCAACCAGCTTCTCAGGGAGACTTTGAACTAATCTACGTGGAATTCCAGGACAGACATGCCTCGTCTTAAATCCCTGCGATAAGACCATAACGCGACAGCTTGCCGACGGTAGTTGGTCATTCCTCGTTCCTCGTCCCCTAAACGGGGGCACTGTCGTTGGAGGCACGAAGCAGCCCAATGATTGGAACCCCGAACCGTCCCTCGCCGTGCGTGAGCAACTGCTCAAAGATGCAGCAAACCTTTACCCAGCTATTTTGAACAAAGAGGGCAAGTTCGATGTAATCCGGGATATCGTAGGCCGACGGCCCGCGAGGGAGGGAGGCATGAGATTAGAGCTGGAGACACTTCCCAATGATCGCAACGTTATTCATGCTTATGGTGTAGCGGGAAGAGGGTTTGAGTTGAGCTGGGGTATTGCGGGGGAGGTTCTGAAAATGGCACATGAAGTTTTGGATATGGAGGAGTGTCGTAGCAAGCTATGATGATAAGTATGATAAGTACCCACCACTTTCTTTCCAGGCTTTTTAGAGGATTACGGATTCACCTGGATAAGCCTTAAATGGTTTCTTATGGCTGGCTATTTATAAGGCATTTGATGACTCCAGCAGGAGGGGGGTTTCACGTTATGAATGCATTTTTCCAGGTTTAACCTGATATCTACCTTCACCGATGACCCTATATTCTACTACAGTGTTTGTGAAGCCATTTCCTTTATGAACCGGGTTAGCTACATGTTTGTGAAATAGAAGGCATACCTAAGCTGCCAACTGTGTTCCCCCCATCACCACATGATTTCAAGTATCGCTGACGCAAATGATCTTCTAGTCCAACTGAAAAAGATCATATTCCTCCACAGTATCCCAAAGATTCTGGAGCCGTATTTCCCGGGCAGCCGAACTCACCTCTGAGATGAAGACGCAGAGTCATTACACCGGAGTCGGTGTGAGCTCCAACGCGCCCTTGGGATGCCCGGAGCATCAGGGGTGTCGGCAGATAATGATGTGCTGCTCGTCATAGGCATAAACATGGGACTGGGCCGGCCATTTCTCGTATTCCCAAAAAGGGCTTCCAGCTAGGACGAACAAGAACGGAACTCACCATCCGGATCAGACGCATCTTCGCCCAAAAAAATAACCACTCGGCAAAATCCAACGAATAACGCCATCAGCCCGGAAAATGATAGTCGACAATGCATGCACGGCATTGATATAGTCCTTCACCAAAGACATCTACTTACGGGGAGGAATACCTCAGTGGGAAATATGTTTTAGCCCGCCTTTTTTTTTTTTTTTTTTTTTTGACAAGAAGCGTGTTTCTCTTCATCGGAACCATTTGGATTCGGCTAATTTCTTTCTTCTTCTTTATTTACTTTCCTTTCTCAATAGCAGCTGCTAGCAATCTATACGACCATGCGTTTTCCTACCCTCTATCTCTCTGGCGGCGTTGCTTCTCTGTAGCACGGTGTCCGCCATTCCACCTGAAGGAATCTTCGAGCGTGCTGTGGGCTCCAGCTGCAATACCATGGATGGCAAAGAGCAAGTGCGATGGAGTTTGCTACAATGGTGCTACAATGGAGCCTGTGGCAAAAACTCTGTCAATATCCGAGTACGTATTTATTAACTAGATATCAGTCATTGTGAAGATGCTAGCTGCTGCGTTCCCGTCAAGTGTAAAGTTGGCGGTAAATCCGGGCTGTGTAAAAACAGCAAGAGATCGGGATGCAATTGTGGGGAATTTCAGAGGAGTAGTGGCATGCGTACATTGTCACTACATTCTTAACAATTCTTTCCAAAGGGCTCCTGCATTTGCCCTCGCTGTGCAACAACAGAAAGTTGGCCATCAGACTTCCTCGATGTATAGGTTTGCCCTGCTGGAGGAGACGTTCGATGTTGCATCAAAAAGAAAGGCCGCCAAACCATCCAAGGATGATGCTCCCAAGTCTAAACTTCATAAGGTTAAGACTCCTGGCGAGTCACCGGGAAAGACAACCGTTGGCCAAAAGATCCTTGCAGTCGCTACGAAAGTCAAAGGGACAAAGTACGTTTGGGGCGGAGGCTCATGCAAGGTTCCTCCCGGTGGAGGTTATGATTGCTCTGGTCTAGTCGCCTATGCCGTATGCAAAGTTACCAAAAGGAACCATTTCAAAGAAGGTCTCCGGGTGACATATTCCATGTACTGTGCACCAAGCAGCCTGGGCAAATTCAAGTACGCAAAAAACCCTTCGGAACCTTCTGACTCCTCAATTCCTTTTCCATGGGGGTGTTCAGAAAGTCTAATATCTGTTTTCTTACTGGGAAAATTCCCCTTTCATAACGTCGTGCGGGCGATGCTGTCTTTTCGGAAGCATCTGCAGCTGCACCCCATAATAAGGCGGACATTTACCATGTGGGCTTGATGATGTACGTATCTTTATTGCTTTCTATATCTCTCAGGAGCCCAGAATGTCTCTTCTCATCTAACCGATCTCGTTACCTAGTGATTCCAGGGATCGCATGCTGCATGCGCCAAACCCAAGTACTGTAGTCAAGGAAGGGTAGCATCTCCGCTCAAGGCAGCAAGGCCTGCCCCTATGTGATTCGATTCGGTTGATCGCATGCATTGCAGTGGCATTTGATCTTTGGGGGTCCTGGTTGTATCAAGACTCACCAATGCATATCCTTCCCTGACTTTACTTATTCTGTTTCTCCTATTCAAATTTTCAAACCTTTCCCTTCCTCACCTTGGATGATTTCTGATGAGCATATTTTACTTCACATTTATGTACAGTATATACTTTGTATGTCTGTGGGCACGTCGTTGCTTAATTTGACATCATCTTTTCCTTTTACAGGCACCAAATAAAAGGAATAGACCTGGACTTTCATATGTTGAAAGTGGAAGCGGGAAAAACGCGGGATAGGCGCTAAATCTAAATCACAACCTTCTCTAGCCCCCGGTGAAATAAATTGTCCCGGCTTCTCTGAGCCTTCTGAGTCTTCAACATGGCCAAGCCCTTGAAACAGGAGCTCCAGCTTGTCCTAAAAGCGGTGCGGAGGTCGGGGGAATCTACGTCTCGAAGTATATATTGAAAGTTAACCTGCAGTAGAGTTACGACAGCATGCTCACATCAGCGAATTCTTTCACAGTATTCTTTCGTGAAATATCTCCGTCGACAGCTTTTAAAGTGGGTTCCAGCCAAAAATTCCACTAATAATGGAAAAAAGGCAGAACTTGGAATCGATATTTCATTACCCCGCAATGTTAGTTGAACCCCACTCTCAACCTTTGAGCTCATGCTTAGTTAACTGGCGGTTGATCGAAGATTTGCATTAGATATTCCGAACTGACTGAAATGAAAGCGTGGAGTTAGGTGCTTTATTGTTTCTCTGATATCATCAAAATATCACCTGTTTCCCATTTATCAGCCTGTTTCTCAAACAAGATCAACCTTAATTATATAAAACCGAGGACGAGATTTTTCGTTGAAATACCAGCTAGCTCCTCTAGCACAAGCTATGATCCAACACTAACCAGTTGGTTATCTACATAGTTACTAGTCAAGAGAAAAGATTCAACATCATCCAATAGGGCGCTGCGTCATTCTACTCTCCGGCAAAGTGGCCCATCCGCTGGACAGCATCAGCCATGCGACACACTGCGTTATACCGAGACTTCCAGGTCGCAACATACGGAGTTGTCCGGCGGTGGGGCCAGCAGCGACAGGGGCATGCAACCCATGGGAAATTCATAACCGGGCCCGGTAAGGTAACTATATTTGCTGAAGGTATAGACGCAGATATACAGTCATACGGCACGGAATGTAGAGGATGGTTCTGCCCCAGTGTTGGTTGATCGATATACGCAACATTCACCGGCGGCCTTTCTCTCGGAGCGAAGGATTAAAATGGCGGAGAACCCTAAGTTTCCAGGAGACCCAACCACGTGAAGGAGAGAAATCCTCCTATACCTTAGCGTACGGGGAAGGCTGCGGGGGGCGGTTGGCCGGTCCCATTGCGAAAGTACCGTGTGCAGTGGATTTTATAACTGCAGTAGTCACGACGCACTGCCACATAACAACAAACAAGGTCTGTGCTACAGTCTATTAAAGAGCCGGGATGCCGTCTCCCAGCAAGTTCTTTGTTTTTCATTGCAGCTTGGCAGCAAGTCCTCGCGAATGGAAACGAGCATTATGCTTCAGCCCACACTTCTGCTCGCCTTTGCGGGTACAACTCTGGCCTCCTTTGCCGGGAATCTAAACTACCGCAGCCCATCTCACAACCATCCGGGCCTTGGTATCTCAATCCCCAAGGTGCTCAAGCGTTCAGACCCAGCGGTAAATTATTCGCCGGATGACCTGCAGTTCACACACGGTGTTGCCTCCGGAGACCCGTATCCTAACTCTGTCATCCTGTGGACACGATGCGCTCCTTCAACTGACAATGTCAAAGACCCCGTCTCATCCAAAGATGGTGGGGAAATGTATGACTCCGTGCCCATTTATGGAGATAACGAGGGCAATGCTCCAGTGTCGAAAGCTCCCGTATGCCTGGAGTATAAGGTTGCTGAAGACAAAGGATTCAAGACAGTCGCGGATTGCGGCACAGTCTACACAAGTTCAGATGTTGATTATACCGTCAAGGTAAGAAATGGGCCTTCTGGTAATTACTTTTAGTATTGTTAACACATTTAATCAGGTAGAAGCATCGCACCTAAAACCTTTCACCACTTATTACTACAAGTTCAACATTTGCAGTTCAGACAAATCTAGCCCAGTCGGAAGAGCGAAGACGTCCCCAACCGAACACGATGAGATCTCCGAGATATCCCTTGCAGTCTATTCTTGCACTAACTTCGGTAAATCCATTGAAGGTTGATGAATTCGGGTACCATCTAATCCTTTGAACAGCCAAGGGGTATTTCAATGCCTATGGAAATCCCGCTCGCAAGGACTCCGTTGATTATGTTGTTCATCTTGGGTATGAGAGATCCTCCTCCCCCTCCCCTTACTCTGTTTTGATTTTAAAATAAAAAACTAATGGATTATAGTGACTACATTTACGAGTTTGGAGAGTAGGTTACTTGACACAATAACGATGCAGTCCTTTACCGTACTAATTAGTAATAATATTGTTTTCCAGAGATGGCTCTAAGATCGGCCGCACGCAGTACCCGAAAACGGTGGTTTATACGCTCTACCAATACCGGAAACGCCACGCAACTCAGAAGACTGACTTGGATTTACAACTGAGCCATCGAGAGTTTACATGGATTCCAGTATGGGATGATCACGGTTCGTCTCTGTGTTTCCTATTCTCTCCATGAGCTCCCATGTAGTAATATCTTAATCAGAGGTTTCGGATAACACGTACCGTGACGGATCGTCGCTCCTTCAAAATACGGAATCCTCATTCATCATTGATGGAGGAGTGTCAGTTGACCAGCGTAAAATGAATGCTGTCCGTGCCTATTTTGAGTGGATGCCAATCAGGTATGAAAGCATCCAATTTTAAAGTCAACACATGTTTTCGGTCTAACTCCCTCTCGTATTTTAGGCAAGTTGAGATGGACGACAATCTCAGAATTTGGAGAAACTTCAAGATCGGCAACCTCCTTGACCTTATCATGTTAGACACACGACACTATGACCGATCCATTACCGATTTATACTTGAATACCCAGTATATAAAGAAAATCGCAGATGATGTTGGTCGATCAATGATGGGTCCCCGGCAGGAACATTGGTTCTATGAGAAGCTAAAAGCGTCTGCCAAAAGACAAGCTACTTGGAGAATCATTGGCAGCCAAACTGGTACATAAAAGTTCTATCTAAAGGAAAGGAGGGGTAATAGTAACAATCAAACAAATCTAACTTTATCTCACGTGTAGTTTTCTCTCGCATTGATGAAACAGATTCAATCGGCAAAGGAACAAACAGCGATTCCTGGGACGGCTACAGGGCCAACCTCAACCGCACCCTGAGCACCTTGTACAAAAATAAAATCGGAAACAACATTGTCATCGCTGGCGACAGTCATGCCAACTGGGTGTCCGATCTCACCTGGCTAGACGAATATCCGTACGACCCAAATACAGGAGCTGGAGCTATTGGCGCCGAATTTGCCGGCACAGCAGTTACCAGCAGCGGGCCTACAACCAACGTAGCCATGGGCAACATGATGTCGAAGACATTGATTAACAAGAATAAAGAACTGCAGTGGTCCGAACTGTACTATAGAGGATACTTCGAGCTGAATATCTCGCACAATCGCACCAATGCTAAATTCTTCGCTATCCCTGATATTAAGAAGAGAAGTCCCGTTGAGATCTCCCTGGCTAACTTTACCGTCATTGCTGGTGAGAATAGGCTTGCGCGGACGAATGGGATTCCGTCGACTAATGGACAGGGCGTACACAATGGTGTTTTGAAGAATGGGAAGTTAGAGAAGCAGACTATTCAGTATAATACTGAGACAAGAGAGTGGTCTAAGACTTAAAAGAAGTGGAAGACAAGAGCTTGAGAACTTGTGGACAAGAAAGCTGAAACCTGGGAATACCGCCATGGCTCATACCTATTTGATATATATCTATATAAGTTTCTTGAAACTTAATCATAATCAACATCGACATACCGTTACAAAGTACTCTATATCTCGTCTTTTCCCTTTGATGGATGGATGGATGAGGCGGTTCCGAATGCCCGGTTACTAAGCAACACCAATAACTAACTATCTAGTTATAACTATCTTGGCGCGGCGAGTTCTATTTCAACCTCAAGGCATTGTTTTGCTCTTTAAACAACTTCACCAACAACCAACTACTGTGGTTTGCAGGAACAGTCAACCTGCATCATGAAACTATTTCTTTCTATCTTATTGAATTGACCATGCAGATACATTGTTACTATGTATATAACTTTCCTTACTCTACAATTCGCATAGATCGTGGTATCACCCCGAGAACAGAGGGTTGTTAATTCCTATGCCTACCTCCTCTCGGAGGTAACTATGGTAGAGACTCCTAAGGCAACAAGTTCATAAAGGCCTGAACAAACAAATTTCATTACATGCAGAGAGAGGGAAATCTCTCATCTATCTTATATTCATGATTCCTCTTCAACGCTTTTTGGTGATCCCCTCCGTGGTTTTCTTTTTATCCCCTATGTCGCCGGTCTTGAGGGACACCAGCATCCGGATACGATGCGCAACTGTTTTCCCTACAGACTTATGGATTTGCTGCAATATTAGGCTGCCTGCGGATATGTATCCCTTTAGCATAACTGCTTTTTCTCTTTGTTTCTCCCCAGAAAATAGCATTTTATTTGCATTCAGTCTGGCTGGCTTTCATGGAACCAAATATCATCGACGGCGTCCCTTTGACCAAGTGGTTCCGAATCCTGTTGTTCTAGGACCGCCAGGCCGCTTTAGCTCTACTCTCTCGGATGTTCTCCAATATGCTACTTTTCATACCCGTTTAATCTCATAAACTTCAACGCGCTCTGTGCTGCCTCCAGGGGCAGGGAAACAGACTGTCCTACGTATACAATGACGGGGACCCACTGCCGAATTAGACTCCCTCCTCGATTTTACTGTACTTCTGCTTCTTGCCCCAAAATACGTAAACTCGTAACTTGTGGCTCGGGCCGGTATGGCTGCCGGTGTGTATGTATGTGCAGTGCTTTTGTCAGCCTCTGTGTGTATGCCTCGGTGTTCAGGCTAACACAGTCTGCCCAACGTCGCCCGGAAACCAAAACAACAACATCCCAACTCCCGGAACACTTCGCTCCACAAGACTCCCTTCGTCTTCACACACTGTACATTATTTTCTTCCTTTTGCTTCCTTCTTCAATCTCCTTCCGTTTTGACCCATTCCTTCTTCACGAGAGACAAGTTGTGATCCCGTGCTATCCCCGGGCACCGGTAGTTTGGGGGTGGGGGTGTATACTCTCACTCCTCCTGCTCACCCAGGAGAGCTTTGCTAGGAATTGATATGCCAACATCAACACTTCCGCTGATGCTAGTGTTCCTATCCCTCCCGCATACAATTTAGCGGCATGCTCTTCTAATTCTGTTGGCTGCTAATGAGCATTTGACCACCGCGTTTCCATTTGCTCCTGTGCCCTTATACCCGCTGCTTTCGTAAATCCTCGCCAGCAAGCTGCAAAGCTAAACCAAGTTGATAAGAACACGTATCAAGCACGAGAAGCCAACTTCCTCTTTTCCTCAATTAGGAATATCGCATCACAATCTTCAGAAACCGTGGTGAAGCTTTCCTTTCAAAGCCGTCACCGCTGCCTTGCCCCATCACACCCCCTTTATTCAATTATGAGTTACGACGGCACTACGTCCCGTTCCCGATCCGATCGGCGTCCTCTACGCGACGCGAGCAACAGACTCAACCTCCTGAGAGGATCAAGGGAGCAATCATACGCCCCAGATAGTTCTCCACCAATATATAAACGCCAAATGTCCATCCAGTCCTCAGAGATTCCAGCAATCGATGGCACTTTAACATCGGCAGCAGCAGCAGCAGCAGCAGAACCAACAACCCCTTCTCCCTCTGTTGCTGCTGCTGAAAACAAACGCATATCCATGGTGGTGGATTCGCAACCAAACTCCAACCGCAACTCCGCAATATCAACCACCTCCACAGCGTCCGGGAGATCTAAGAGGAAAACACACATTGGGCCATGGCAGCTGGGTAGGACCCTGGGAAAGGGCGCTACGGGTCGTGTTCGTCTGGCGAAGCATGCGCTCACGGGCCAGACGGCGGCAATTAAGATTGTATCGAAAAAGTCAGCTGCAATGGCACAGAGCCAGAGTATTGCTGCTATGGGTAAAAATATTGAGCTAACGACCTGTGTCCCTGGCGGGAGGGTGATACCATGTGGCATTGAACGAGAAGTAGTGATAATGAAATTGATTGAGCACCCTAATATTATCAACTTGTATGATGTGTGGGAGAACCGTGGAGAACTGTACGGTTTCTTCTGCTTCCTTTTCAACGTTGCTGTCCTTTTTCTTTTTCTTTTCTTTCTCTTTTTTTCTCCAGTTCTGATTTTGTGATTGTTTTTCTTTGGTTATTTGCTAATCTGGAGAAATTCCCTTTTCGTCTCTAGGTATCTTGTTCTCGAATATGTCGAAGGAGGAGAATTATTTGACTACGTCTCCGAAAGGGGCCCTCTCCCTGAAATTGAAGCTGTCCGCCTGTTCAGACAAATTATCGCAGCCCTTTCATATTGCCACCGGTTTAATATCTGCCATCGTGACCTCAAGCCTGAAAACATCCTTCTTGACACGAATTGCAATATCAAGCTAGCAGACTTTGGGATGGCTGCCCTCCAGCCTGCAGGCCATTGGTTAAATACCTCCTGTGGGAGTCCACATTATGCTTCACCGGAAATCATATATGGTCACAGATATCTTGGGGACAAGGCAGACACCTGGAGCTGTGGGATTATTCTATTCGCCATGCTGACGGGCTATCTGCCCTTTGACGGTGGTGACTTGCCTAACACACTCCGCCTGGTCAAAAAGGGGGACTATATTTTCCCACCCTGGCTTAGCTCAGAAGCAATGAATTTAATTCAGCGTATATTGCAAAAGCAGCCGGGAGATAGGATAACCATTAATGAGATGTGGTCCCACCCGCTCCTGAAGAAATATGAGCGACATCATTTTTCGATGTCCTCCGAAGGCGTTTCCTTGGGCCCCCCTCCCCCTTTATCGGATAAGGACTGCGGGAAGAAAATCATACGCCTCCAAGATATCGACATGGAGCTCCTGAGAAGCCTTCAAACTCTTTGGCATGGGTCTAAGGCTGAGGAACTCATCCAGAGGTTGTTAAGTGATGAGTAAGTCCCTTTTCCTCCAAAATGTTGACTCTTAAAACTAAATTTACGTTGCCGTAGAGTCAACCATGAAAAAATGTTTTATCATGCCCTGGAGAAATTCAGGGATGAGCAGCTCGAAAACTATGAAGGGCCAGTTGGATATTCTGCCAGCGACTATCAACATATTTCCAAGTCTATTCTCAGATCCCAACTGCGGGTTCCAAGCAGCCGCCACCCAAGCCAGTCATGGCGACGGTCTCAATTGTCCATTGCAACCGGTCGATCTGCCAACAGAGAGAACCCTGAGCAAAAATCTGCTCGAACAATCGCCAGCTATGATCCCTATAGATCGTCCAGAACCCCCATCTCCAATCCTCAAGTGGAGTTTGCGAATGTGACCATTCACCGTCAATCGCCTGGTTCTCCAAATAGCAAAGGGGATGATAGATCCTCCGAGGCCTCAAATTCTCCCAGCAATTTCACATTGGAAAGGCATATCCCTAAGGACCAACGGTCGTTTATTCAGAGCTCCTCTATGGGCCACAATCGGTGGAATGGGAGGGGTTCAGTTTCCTCGTTTCAATCTCGAAGCTCTATTGCAAGTTCGCGCCGACGTGCCAATGGTTTCGCAGCTCCTCGTTCAAACAGCTATAGGCGAAACGTTTGTTTTAAGCACAGTCGTAACCACCGTTCCACTGGGAGACATACTGCAAGACAGAGCGGCGTTGCACAAACACATTCTCAGTATGCATTATCCCCTGGAATCGGGGAGAAAAACGGCAAGATTACTTGTGATCGATTCAGCAGCCCAACGCTCCCCACGCCTCCACCTCCTATTCGCATGCGAAAAGATCCCAACAGGGAAACTGACATTGAGACTGCAGAACACCGTGTTTCTTGTCAATATTGGCGAGATGAAGCGAGAAAAATATCCATTGAACTTGGGAAAATCTGTGAGGAAGCATTCAACCGGACTTCAGTATCCTCCAGCGACCACTCTGTTGACACTGCAAAACCTCCTGAATCTCCTCCAACTTCAGTTTCAACACCAGCAGATACAGGGGAACCTGAGGATAAGTACAAAACGCGTCCGTTGCCAGTGCCACCAGCGGAATCGTCCAACTCGTATACACTTAGAGAGCTAGCAGACACTCGACGCCGTCTTATTGAGCACTCCATCCAGGCAACGTCAGAAGATCTTCCACAGTATCTTTCCGAGGTTATTGCTCATCTGAATCGTTTGATTGGAAACGAAGTTGCTCCTCATACCGACCAGAGTACTGCACATGCCCCCGAACCGCTGCTCCAAGTCCAAGAGCCATTTCTTCCATCCATCGCTGAGGATGATATATTCCAGGACTCTACATCGATTGTTGAGGAAATTCAAAACGAGCAGAAACCTCTGCAACCCAAGCGATCAACAAACTGGAACTGGGAACCTGAGCGAACCATTCGCATCGTACCACAGGAACCCGTTGTTCCTGAAATGAATACGATAAAGCCATTGACAATCCGCAAAAAATTGGGCCCTGTATCAACGCACAAAATGAACTACTCTATAAACTCAATCGGACGTCACCGGTCTGTTTCAAGTTCTACTGACGAAGATCTCACTGTTAGCGCTCCGCTCAGTAGACACAATAGCAATGTACGCTATTACAGTGGGCTAGAACCTATAGAAGAGCACCCGAAAACCCCGAATCGTAATAATGACGCACGCAACTTGGGGGAGTCAAGGAAGTGGTCATGGTTCAAGCACAAGTCACAGAGCCATGAGCAAATTCCGCCACCTCTCCCGTCCAAGGATACTCCACCGCGCCCAGTACCAGCTGATAGCAGTACATACCATGAGCTTGGTAAGAGGAAGAGTGCACCAGGATTACTAGGCATGAAAGAACCACCAAAGGTTCTCGAAGGGAGCAAATTGGAGAAAAAAGAACTAAAGGGCCTGTCCTGGCTCTTTGGGAAGAAGAAGCCACAGAAACAGAAACCGGTGCATGAAATTGGCAAAGGAAGTAAGACCACCTACAGTTCCACTATCCATCCCCAGTTCACGTTTTGTCTAACGAACCTACTAATCAAATGACACAGACAGCGATTTCAATGACGCAACCTCGAGTGTTCTTAGCGTACCTGCCACAATAACCCTGATTGAAGTGCCTGGATCTCCTCTCCTCAACGGGGATCATAACGCCAATCGACGTAATGATGTTTCCAAACGAGAAACACGGAGTTCACGGGGCCAGAACTGGTTCGCACGGTTTTTCCACATCAAGCCTGCCACAAAAACCCTTGCCTTCCAGGTATCCAAACTCCGGGCGAGAAAGGCAGTGGTAAAGATTTTGCACGAGTGGAAGAAATATGGCATGGAATATGTACATTTCGACAAGGAGAGTAATATTGTCCGAGGGAGGGTTGCGGACGTTAATTGTAAGCAGTCGAGAAAAGCAAAAGCAACATCGAAAAGTAATAATCCACCTACTAATAAACCTAATAAATATTTAGTTCTCCGTCTAAGACCCGTCGAATTCTCCGGAGAATTTTTCACCGTCCTCGAGCTAGGTAAACATGCGAATCTTAGCTTGCTCCATCTGAAACAGGAACGTGGAGCCGCATCATCGTTCCATAAAGTTGTCGATACGTTGCAAATAGTGCTGAAGAAGCGCGGTCTCTTGATCGAGGATGCATCCAAGGCTAAGAAGATTGCGAAGGTGCTGGATGTCGTTTCATAGTTTGTTTTAGGAGATATATTTGTGCTTGCTATTTCTACGTTTGCGTTTTTGTTTGCGTTTCGTGTTAGAGTGTTCCATCCCATTAAACTCCTTTAAATATATCAGAACTCCGCTGCTGATGTGTTTTTTATGTCAAACCAGGTGCCTGTGTCTGCTTTTACGTTTCTGTTAACATTTATCTCGTTTTCTTTTCAATTTTCGATTGTGGTATTAATTTGGCGTGTAACTTAAGGGTGTGGTTATTTGTTCTGGTTGATGATATATTACCTTCGCGCTGCATAAGTTGTTTACTTGATTTGCTTTCCATCTCAGTCTCTTTTCCCTGTCAAATGTCATTTCCTTCTCATTGATCTTAGGCAGTTTTACCTTTGGCTGTTGATTGGCTATGCTGATTTGCTTCTTCTTTTTTTCGCACCCCCTTTTTATTGTATGTGTTTGGATTGCACTTGTACAGTATAGCACCTACCCCGTCATAATCCGGAAAGCACCCATTGGGCCAGAATTTCAGGAACCAACTGCTTGTGATATGTCGATTTGCCAAAGCTACTACTTCTTTCTCAGGCTGGTGGTAACTCACCTGGGCAAGGAGAAAGTCAAGTTATAATTACCTCTGCACTCCCCTTCTCTCTTTCGCCCTCTCTTTTTTACTTGTTCCCCTTACACGCTTTAAATACTTAGTCTTCATTAAAATTTCCTACCCCAATATCTTCTTGTTTAATTTTGTATCAGATAGCCATAGCTACCCTGGTTTTGCTCTCTTGCCAAAATTAGCTCCGTTTTGTGCTTTTCTTTAAAATAATAATACTAATAATAATTGTTCTTGCTCTTCGAGTGCAAATCGCATTTCAACCAAGAAATATATATATATATATATGTATATGTCCCTATTTTTTTGTTTACTTTCCACCCAGAAGTGGAAAAGGACCCAAGCGTTTATCGCGCTAATAAGATTAAGGTTCCGTGGCGGTACCAAACTTCTGGTCATTCCGGGCATCGAGATCTGGGAGATCCGGGCACCCATAATAAGTTAGAGTTTCGGTTCATCGCATAGCCGCATAGCGTACAGCCGCATGCCGATGAGAACTCAATTCCCATAAGATGAAAAAAAGCTTACCCTGCCCATACTAAATATCAAAACCAGCAAACGTTCTTAATTAAGATCATCCTCTCCTCGACATGGCATTTTTTAGCCTTTGTTTTTTTTTTAAGTATAGCAGCCCCCAATTAAGATTCGGATGAGAATTCGGCTCCGTAGTCTCAAAGGGGGCAACCAACCGTTCTCACGCCGCGCAGGCCACAATTTTGAAATAAAAGTAACGAATCCACGTGGGGGTTGCAGGAAGGAAACAAAAATCTCTCATCCACCGTCCACATTTGAAATTACCTTCCAACTGCTCAAGTAGCTAAATTCAGCTCGCCTCAACCCAACCAGACTCAAATCCTGTCTGACACGTGGAATTCTCTCCACACGTCTAAGAAGAATTTAAAACAAAATCCAAGACATGTGCGGCTCAAGCTAACTTAAACTCAGCAAAACCAAATCATCATCTGTAATACAAAGCACATATAGTAGCAGCAAATTTAATAAAGAAGCAAAGCCTCAAAAAAATCATACCACCTCTCCCATCTGCACGGAATAAGATACGACAAAAAGGACCAAAAACCAAAGCAAAACACAATCACAAATAGCCGCCCACCCATCCAAATTTTTCCCCTCTCCTTAGTATATAAATTTTACCGACCCCTTTGCCAACAAAAACAAACTGGAGAACAAAAAAACAGAAAAATGTAAAGAATTAAAAACACGCAATTTGCCCCCTGGAGTTCCAACTTCAGCCTCTAGCAAACCACCTCACGACCCTTCCTCACCCTCATTCTCTCCCATTCAAGACGCCCGCCCTATCAATCCCCCCACTCGCAGGAGAACACAATCGCTCAGACCCAAAACAAGGGTGTCCAGCTGTTCAAGCAGTGGCTACCGTATAACACAACCACAACGTAACCCAGATTTTGACCTAGGATAAAATCAAGATATAGAAGGAAACTTCTTTTTCCATTGCTGCCAAGACGCAAAAACCAAGGCAGAGAGTTTTAGGAAGTCAAAATAAAAATAAATAATAATAAAAAAGGTACGACAACTGTGATTTCTACTCTCACCACAAGATAAGAAAAAGAACATGACGATTTATATATGCCTTTTCCCTTTATCGGAATTTGAATGGCGGGAGAAAAGAAAAGAACAAAAGCAGAACAGAACGTAGCAATGCATAACTACAAAGCAAGGCAAAACGAATTGAAAAGACAGATAGCCTCCCAATAACACAAGAAAAAGAACCAAAATAACAAACATGTATCATGCTGCAAACGTTAAACATAAATGCAAGGGATTCATGAGCAAAAGGAATAAAAGAGGGGCTGTGAATCAGCAAAGAGGAGGAAAAAGGAAAATGTAGATGATATCAGCATGTTCACCAAGTACAGCCACACGATCGTTTTCTCACTTGGCAGGCTTAGATATATATATATATATATATATACCTAGGTATACATGTACGCCCACATTTGAAGTTTTCTTTTTGCTTGAGAATGGAAAATTGGGTGCAAGAAGTGGCAAGGAAAGGGAAATGTGATTAACGGGTCGCCCCATGTAGTTTATATAAAGTGCTCTTTTAGTGGCTGTTGGCTGATAAGGGTGAGAAAGCAAAAAAATAAAAATGAGGAAGAGGTGGGACATGAAAAAACAGGAAACCAAACGAAAAAAAAAAAAAAAAAAAAAAAAAAAAAAAATAGGGGGTATGCTGGGGTTAAATCGAGCAGTTTCTGGAAAAGGCCGGTGGGTAATTGGTTCCCAGGAATGCAGCAGAAAAGATGTCTTGCCCGCTCAAGTACGTGCGGGAGGCAAAGGAAAATCCATCAAACGATATTGGACTGAACGCCCAGAGACATAGAGCAATACAACTTCCGTATGAGTCTTGTCATCAGACACACGGAGTCGTTGCAATGGTGAGACCAACTGAAAGATAACATCCAAATGGTGCTCGTTCATCAAAATTCATGTGCGTTCCAGTGCCGTACTTTTTTCCTTTTTCTGTCTTTTGGCTTCTAGAGGTTACCAAAAATAAATCGAAACGTTCCTCTGAAGCGGCGAAGACTCATCTGCTTTGCTCGAAAAACGGTTTCGCTCCGAAAACGATACATGCTGCTGCCCAACTGGAGAAAAAGCATTAGGACCAGATAGGTTATGTGACGTGTCCCACCCAACCGCTTTCTTCTTGAGAGCCTGTGTAAAGTCCGTGAAGTCTTCTTTGTATATTCCATATACGAGATGATCCCCCATCTCAATTAAACATCGCTAAAACAAATAGAAATAGTAGAAATAATCTGATACGCTCGTGACCAGCACGACCCTGGGTTAGTTGTCATCCTCGCCCCCTTTTTTTTTCCATATATATTTTGTTATCTTAAATCTGTTATTCCGTTCTCTTCTCGTAAATATTTCCCATCACGGAAAAACAAACCGTTCAAACTCTTCGATTTAGGGCGTTGAGCATGTCACTATCAGTTGAGCTTCTCGTGCCCTGCGTATCTGGTCCTAGCATTTCTCTTACACTGAGGCCACGACTGCCCGAAGTGCCCCCTGGTTGGCCTGGCGGGGGTGTTCGAGTTGGGAGAGAAGGTGCCGGATGCTGTTGCTGGAGGGGTGGTGGGAACGGAAGACTTGGAGAAGAACCATGCGGAGAAGTGGAATGCCGGTGTTCGAGCGAATATTGCGAATGAGATGACGAACGTCGGTCGTATGGCGATTGAGCTGTATGGCTAGAATATGTGGTGGGCCCAGAAAGAGCGGCTGATACGGGAGGAAGCGTTGTCGATTCAGAATAGCTGGGATACCCGTCCCTTGAATCGCGAGACGCTACCGGGGATCTCTGTAGAGAAGTATGTGAGAAATCAGAACCTGAAGCCGAAAGGGAATTTGAGAGAAGAGTCGAGGAGATGAAGGCTTATCGGGAAGGGATAGATGTCTGCGACTCACATGATCAGGTGGCATTTGCGGGTGCTGTAGATGTGGTGGTGGAGGGCGGTCATCGACTGGCGGCCTTGCGTATGCATGGGGGGGGTATAAGCTTTGGGGAGGTGGGAGAGGCCCATCGGGTGCGTGATGTGCTACTTGCGGTGGAGGAAGGGGCTGACCATGTGCACCGTACAAGGGTATAGCATCAACTCGATGTCCACCTCGCGGTGCTGTTCCGCGGAAGTGGTTGTAAACTGCCTGGGCAGGCACAAATGCCTGTGCTTGAGACGAAACCGGCGTAAACATGCACTCCTGGTTAAAACGGACGCAGTT